GTCCGTGGTGGCGGGCATATAAAAATGCGGACTTACAATCTGTGGTTCGATTAACAGCCCTAGAGCAGGGAGATCTGGGCGCTGGTAAAATATCCCGTTAAAGGCTTATCTATGCTTTTAATGGGATTATGTAATTTTTTGTGAATCTAAAGTTGCTTTCTTGACACATTGACCATGGATGTGTAACTCTGTGTAACTGAACTTTAGCTATAAAGCTCTTAAAATAGTAAAATGGATTTGCTTTAGAATCATCCAGTCAATAAATTATCTTTGTTGTTTTGAAATTCTTAAAAAAAATTGGACCATTCTATGCATCCCAAAAGATGCATTGGAATAAAAAAACAGTCTCAGCAAGGTCAGGTCAGGTTTTCAGCTAACATGTAATAAAAAAGAGGGATGTGCATGTGACCACTAGACCATCCAGCAGTCATGTTAATTATTGATGAGGGTGTCCCATGACCTAGACTATTGATTGAGCAAATTGCAGCCCCAGTTATTTTACAACCACCATATCATGTGGCTTCTGCAGCCGTGTGCGTGCACATGTGTGTGTAAATGCAGCGTGCTGCTCTTTAAAAGTGAATGAAGAGATTTTGTTTCAGCTGTCTTTGTGCAGAGAGTAGCAAGACACTGTGTTATACCCCTGTGGGTGTGTGAGTATTTGCAAGAATTTCAACTTGAAGGCATGTTTGTGTGTGTGTGAGAGAGATGTCTGTGTATCACAAAGGACTACTTACGGGGATACAATGATACAGGCCTTACATGCTGTTACTGCTGCTGTTATTGATTTGAAAATAAATAAAAGATGATTCAGGGGGGATAACCTTCATATTTTTCTCTTCTGCAGATATTTCATTGTCTCTCTATTTGTCAAGGCGGCGATGCTCTTGTGAGATGTATGTGTCTCTGTATGTGTGTTATCCTCACACACGCACACACACACACACACACACACACACACACACATGCACACACCTACACACACACACACACATCTTTTAATTCAGCACACATATTCTGTCATCTGAAGAGGTGCTGTGTTTCCTCTCCTGAGGCACACACACACACATGCTACCACACATGGCATCATACTATATCCACTCATGCCCCTGCACACACTGCTGGTGAATGTCAGTGTAACACAACTCGCCTCTCCTCTAGATGAGTAGTTAACCTCCTGCGAGCCGAATCTGATTTTACCATCAGCCTCTGTCAGAGCTGCTTTTTATCCTGGCAGACACACAGGGAAGAAACAGGGCCTTTATTATCCTTTTCCAACTGTTATAAAAATATTTTTAGGGTTTGTGGTCAAGAAAATACAACATATCACTGTACTGTCATATGAAAACCTCATACCGTAAGTGCAGCCTCAGTTATTGATTTTTACATGGAAAGTTTATGGGATCCTCTCTGTGCCTAATAAGTTTCACGGCTGTGTTACGCACTGAAAAGTCCCCGTATATTTTTAACTTTCAAGTGGAAATGAGGCTGTTTCTTTTCTTCCGCTTGTGGAGTGTTGACTTGCCAGAGTCATTCGTTCAAGTCTAGTGAGATGTTAAGCTCCTTCAGCAGTTGCAGAAAGCCATGCTTAAAGGATAAGTGTGGTCATATTCTATATTTTCCTTAATATCAACAAATTGATCCTACTGGGAAGTTTTTTTGGTGGAGCAAAAGAATTATACAGCACATTACTCTGTGTTATACGCCTCCATTGTTGTCCAGGAACTTTTAAAACTACATCAGTAAGCAGCACCATTGCACAAGGCTACATGTTCCTTCAGAATTTCAATTATAATTTTCAATTTTCAACCACAGGGAAAATTGTCATTGATTGTATAACTTTTTTTTTTTTTTATTAAAAGATAAATATAACAGGGGCATATGACAACTATGACTTTTCTTTTCTTTGTTAGTAGCAAAGAACAGGAAGCAAAAAAGCACAGCTGATAGTGGTGTATTGATGCTGCGGAAAACTAGTATTGAAACTGTTTTAAATATTCAGACTCGATATGTATGTATGTATAAATTGATAGACTACTGCCTAGATTGATTTAAGTTAGTGTAATGAACTCCCAGTACCACAAATATGCACTAATGCTCAAAATGTGTATTAATCCACAGCTGAAAATAGTTCCCAACAAACATACTATTTACAACTGTATGATTAATGTTTGCTAAAAAACTACAATGCCCAGCTGTTTAAGGAAATCATTCAGAGTGTATTTTTCCAAATGTAACTATATATTTGTGACCAATTAAAAAAACAAAACAAAAACAAAACATCTTCAATAACCAATGGACCTGCGGCTAAGAGCTATAGACAGATCACAGACACAGAAAAATATAAAAAAATAAAAATATCCGCAATGATATCATTATCTGACCTCAGGCGTCTGAATATGAAAACTAAAGAACTAAAAAAACCCACTCCCTTTCCTTGTGAGTATGACTATTTCCAAAATTGATTAGTTAATCCACAGTGAGGCCGATGCCAGGAGTGGGTGCGCACGGTAACTAAATGGAAACAGACCCAGCTGGACTGGAGCCCAGTGGTTAAACTGTCCTGTGAATAAAGTAAAGGGATCTTTGTTTGGTGTTATCCAGGGGTGAACCATTAGGGGCATGTGTGCTCTGTCAAAGGTTGTTTATGCATAGAGGGATCAGATCTCAGTCTGCCACTGTTAGGAAATGAATTCATTCTAACTTTTGCCTGTTTATCCACACTTCTGTTTTATGTTCCTCGTGCATTTCTGCTGATCCAGCGGCCATCTCGCTGCTTCTCTTACCTGATTGGCCGGGGGTGCTGGCTGTCAGGTCTAATTTCCTGGTGTGTCTTCCAATCAGGGTGGTCTGTTTTGTGTGTGTCAGCGAGTGTTGTGGTTGTCATTCCATCAGTAGGATTATATTGGGCTGTTTAAACCCGCTTCACATTCTATTACTCTCACACACATGCACATGCACATGCACATGCACACATGCATACTGTAAAGGGGAGGTCGGGGAGTGTTTAGTGCAGCATGGGACCTTGGTGTGCCAGTGTCAGTGATGGATATGGCAGTAGTATCAGCAGTGTTGGCTTTTGCAGAAGTGTGTTGTCCACCACTGGGATCTGTCAGACCTGTTCTGCTGAGCCCACACATTCTGCTGGCTCGCTGCTATTGGTGCGAGCCATTTTTTTAATCTAGTGTGCATGCATGTGTGTGTGTGTGTGTGTGTGTGTGAGAGAGAGAGGGAGAGACAGAGAGAAAGAGGGAGAAGCTTGTTTTTCTGTGTCTGCATGCAACAGTATCAGATTACTGTAAAAGGTCCATGTTTGCATTTGAATAAAAATTAGGTGATTGTTGAATTATTTATTGCATAATTAATCAATATGGGCCTGCTTGTCTGTGGGAAGCCTTTTTTTTTGCAATATTTATATAAAATTACCATTCAGTTCACCAAACTGGATTTAAATGCTGTTCAAACCCCCTTTTTGCAAAAAAAAAAAACAGTCACATTTAAAGAAACTGCATTTCTGCCATATTTGGAAAATATGAACATGTGCATTTGTCTCCCCTTAATAAATACATGAAAATATCAGTTATATTTTGACAAAATTAAAGACATTTACACCATAAATTGATGCAGAAAAGTACAAACGGTGCATAAATATTCACCGGAATTAGTGTTAAATGCTCAATTTTTGTTGCGGATGACCCTAAACCCCCCATTTCATTAGTTTCCACCATGGACAGTAAAAATAATGGACATGGCTACAGTGACATCACCCATTGGTTTGTGGACTCTCGTTTTGAAGCCTCAAGTTCAACATTTTGATCGTTGCCATCCTGGTTTTTTGGAGCCAGAAGTGACCATATTTAGGCAACAGGCTGGCACTGTGGAGGAGTGAGGGGTGGATCTGACTGAGAGGCTTAGGACACTATCAGCAGACAACCTGTCAGCCAAAACTGCCTGACCTTATGCATAGTGTTAAGTTTAAATAAAGATTCCCCCTGTACAGTTGTCATGAAAGAAAAAACTGGCTAAAAAGACCAAAACCATTTTTTTTTTTTTTTTTACCAAGCTGTAAACGTGTTTATTTCTGCTGTAAAGTCTGGCATTTTAACATGGGTGTCTATGGGGACTGACCGGCCTTTGGAGCCCCAAGTGGCCATTCAAAGAACTGCTGTTTTTGGCACTTCCATGTTGGCTTCATTTTTCAGCCCCGGAGGTCGCCGCTTGGTGTCTTCCCAGTGTTCAAATGAAAATGACGCCCCACTGTTGGTGTTAAACCTTGTTCTCTATGGGCAGTAAAACTGATTTTACCATCATGATGATATGCTTTTTGTAGGCCTCAATGCTTTGTATCCCATCATCAAGTCTAGATACTGTGACAACAGGTTCAACCTGTAATGGAGGAGAAGAAAAGAGTAGAGAATACAAGAGTGCAGAGGAACTAAATTGGAGGAGAAAGGAGAGGAAAACATAAGAGAAAGTTACGTTTCATCTTCCTTCCCACACAGACGTGCAAACACACTTACACATGCAATATACAGTACTTTGCACAGGTGGAGTGTCACCCTACTTGCACAGATTGCAACAGATTTGTGGTGAGTAGGAGTTAAAAGAGCTGCTGAGTGCACATTTAACACCACAGATATTTAAAGAGAACAGTCCTTTTATCTGAGGGGACAATTTGCATTATTCATGTTGTGCCTTCTGAGAGATGAAGAGAGCGAGAAATGGAGACAAAGACATTTCAGAGAATTATTGTTTTTTTTTTCCTTTCTCTTTTTTTTTTACTAGCAGTCAATGGGTTCTTGTTACATTAACAGCAGATTTACATGCAGTGCTCCTCTCAGAGTTTGTTTATATGTGTGTGTGAGTGCATGATATAATCCCCATCTTTCATATTTCACTTGTTGTTGGTGCTCCAATGAAGAATGCAGCTATTAGATAGTGATTGATCTGCTGGTTCAGCTTGACACTCATGCATCTGCCTGTGTGTTTTTTGTCTCCAGTGTGCAGGGCCGGCTTCTATAAATCCACGCTCGGAAATATGGAGTGCTCAAAGTGTCCGCCTCATAGCTTCTCTCACCATGAGGGGTCGCTGCACTGTGGCTGTGAGAAAAACTACTTCCGTGCTGAAGGGGACCCCGCCTCCATGGCCTGTACCCGTAAGTGTGCTTTCAACATTTGGGGCTCTTTGATGTATGAGGAGTCAGAGGCATCCTGATGTGATGCAGGTTCTTTCCCCGCCACAGTTCCTTGTTTTTCAGATATCCAACCAGAGATGCCCTTCAGTGTGGTGTGGGAGGATTTTTCTCATTAGCTCTTAAAACATGCAACAGACCTGTCTTAATTTCGCTTTAAAGAGATGCTGAAAAACCATTAATTTGGCTGTCATTGAATTATAATGAGTTGCAATAGTATAATTCTCTCAGATGCTTCTCTCACTGAATCATTTTTGCAGATTATTTTGTTTGGCCTTACTCCATATTGTTGTACACATACTTATGTACAATACAAAAAGCTATTTGTCAAAAAAATATATTACCAATACGCACTGTGTGAATTTAATCAAGAGGCTTGTACTGGTTCTCATGTAAACAGTCTCACAGTGTTTACAGTGTATTTTTCAACTTAGCGGGATCTCATTTATAGATGGATTGCTTCTCAATTCACCAGTGAAAATGGCTCGCTATTAGACAAAGAGCGTTAACATTCCTTATTCATTTAAAAGGTCACCAAAGCCACGGTTGCTCTTTATCACCTTTCCCTACATGATTCTCTTTTGTCTCCCTCTGATGCAAATGGATTGCAGATGCAGATGCAGATGCCTCCTGCGAGCCTTCCAAAATGCATTCCCCATAAAACTATAAATCACTGCATTCCCTGATGTCAGGTTATGGATACATCCGTTACTAAATGGGGTAGGAAGAGGAAAAAAAAAAAAAAAAATTCCTTCACCGTGTGGAGAACAGTAGAAAATTCATATCAACGCCCACAGACATAGACAGAATCCTAATTAGAAAGACAGTCACGGCAGGTCCCTGTCGTGATTATCTCAACGCCATCTTGTCAGCTAGGCAGATTTCACCTCATTGGGACAGATTGAGCGACGCAGGGGCTGCAAATGAATAGATAAGTTTCTGGAAGATAATGATCATGATTATACAGTTAGCAGTGGGGTAGAGGTTGTTTAGAATTGAGTGTGGAAATTTAAAAATGTTGGCCGGAAAAATGAGATACTAAACTCAAAAAATATGAAAGCTTTCAACCGTATGGTATTTCCTGCTGTATTCAACGTGGGACATTTGTGTAACAGCTGTCTTTTAACAGTGTATGAAGTATAGTATGTCTGCTCCCAAGAATTCAGTTCCACCAATTAAAAATGCATCAATGCATACCCCTAAATCCCACAGCATTGCCTCCAAATTAGCACAGAAGTGCACAAGAGGTCTGCCTTGCTGATCATCACCATCGCTTTAACTTCCTTAAAGACACTATGAAACCACTTTTTATTTAAAAATCTAGCAATCTCCAGTGTTAAGCAGAAAGCTGGAAAGAGCCTAAAAAAATTGCCAATGCATATGTCTTTTTGTGAGTGATTGGAGATTACGCACACATCCTCTGTTCTTACACGCCATAATTCATGTCACATTTTAATCTCAATGTCAATGTATTATTTTGACATTTGGAATTAGTGCGTGATTGCCTGCACGTGTGCGTGCCTGCACAGGTACTGTAAAGTCTTGTATGAATTACAGGTCTGAGAGTTTGATGTGGTCAGGGACGTTTGCTGTGTAGGTGAGTTAGAGGGCTTTGATTAATATCAAAGAAAGTACAGTCTCACTTTGGAAACAGAGTAGGGTGACATATGTTCTTAACGATGTTGATGATAAGCTGTTTTCTCCGAGGAGGGTTTCATTGTGTTTGTGAAGGAAGTGATAGTTTTGACAGATCTTGATAAATTTGGTATTTATTGCTTAACTAGAACTTCTCTGAAGCCCGTTGAATATTGGTGCTGATTTCAATGGTTGCGAAAGATTTCACAGTTGTTACGAGGTGAGCAGCCTGGACCGAATCACATTTCATTTTCATGATAGTAACAGGACGTCAAACTCTTTGCATGGGGTGCTTTCTGTTATGGCTGAGGAAGAGACTATAAAACCATTTAAAACTGTAAAATCTATTCTTTTACCACAAGTTTGAACGATACTGGTAATTGTGATAAGCTGATGTAATAACCTATCTCATGGTTTGCCCCATCATTTTGTCTTAATTGTGTATTAAAGTCATTTCATTCCATGCTCTCAATTAGAAACAGCTTGTGACAGATTATTCAGTCTTGAAGCTGCAAAACTCCTCTTAAACTTCAGAGGTGTGTTAGATGTTGTAACACCAAACACGTCTTAAGAAGTCTTCAATCTAGATTTGTGAGACTTGCAGATACCATGATGTCATTTTTTTTATTTTCTCCACGGCAAAAACATTTGGCGTATTTCTCATGTGATTTCCTTCCTTACACAAACACAGTCAGAGATACCGATAACCAAGACGGGAGCTGTGCAGAGTTTGGAAGCGAAGTAAATTCTTGTCAAGTCAAACAAACCAAACAAAGCATTTTATCTCAAGACACAACCCACTAAGCCCATTTTCCTCCTCCTCCTGCAACTTCTCAACAGAGTTATTTGGCAGTTTTGTTTTGTTCTCCGTGTAATTACAGTCATAGCTTTGATATGAAAATCTGGAAATATTCAGAGGGATCTGTTTGTAATAAGACGCTTTTACTTTATATGTCAGTCTGATTTTGACAGCCCTGTTTTTTTTTTGTGAAAGAGGATAAGTCATGCCCTTTTCTTCTTTTACTGATCCAAACTGAGGAGAAAACAGATACATTTTGCAGTACATACATAGTCTCATATTAACTCAACCCTGTTATTACCTTAATTCAATTTCAATTACAGAGGTTGTGCATCCATTACAGTTTTCTTGAGTGAAAATCTCCTAGTAGGTATTTGACACATCAAAGACTCCATTGAATGGCCAGTTTCTTCCTGGAAAATCACCCAATCTCCAATCAATAAATCCATCACAATGGTTTAAAGAAACCCCGCCCCTTTCTTTTTATTTGACTAGTCCCATCAGTTAACAATTTAAAATAGTCTTCATTAAATTCTTAAAGTTCATCTTAGGTGCTGTGTCTTGTACTTGGCAGATGACTCTGCTGCCAAATCGTATTCCATCTAATGTCAGTCTGCTGCTTGATGTTGATACTATTTCTGCCTCACCTTTCTTTGCTCCTTCCCTTTCTTCTATCACCTTTCTTCCCATCTTCTGTCTTCCTAATACAAACGTGTCTCTCATCCTGTTAACTAATGACCTCCTTTCCTCTCCTCATCTCCTTCTCTTCTCTGTCTACCAGGCCCCCCTTCAGCTCCTCGCAATGTGATCTCTTCCATCAACGAGACCTCAGTAATTCTGGACTGGAGCTGGCCGGAAGACACCGGCGGGCGCAGGGACATCACCTTCACCGTCCTCTGCAAACGCTGCCGTGGCGGGGCTGCTAACGGCAGTAACGGTGGCAACCAGCGTTGCGAGCCTTGCCGGAGCAACGTTCACTTCCTGCCAAGAGCCACAGGTCTCCACAACACCACGGTGACTGTGGGCGACTTGCTTGCCCACACTAACTACACCTTCGAGATCGAAGCGCTAAACGGTGTGTCATCGCTGGCACCCAAGATGAGGCAGTACGCCGCCGTCACCATCACTACCAACCAAGCTGGTGAGATGTTACAGCAGGTGGATAGATGACTAAGAGCATGCACTCAGATAATCAGGCAGATGTACTCTACACTGATCATTTTAAGCCACGTATTATCAAAGCCAAGCTATTTTCTTCAAACAACCGCTACACTAGGTGATTTTACTGAGTAGCTACACATGTGTTGAAGGTGTACAAATCACTGAGATGAGCTTGCAACCTTTAGACTGGCCTTAACTTTAGCTGTTCCTATGTATATGAGATTAAGTTCACACCATGTGATTCTAGACACCATACACTATATGGCATGTATATATGGCTATGTGGTACTAATGCACAAAGAAAAGTGTATTTCAAATTTTACTGTGGGTAAAACCACAAGTAGCTACATAACACGTGGATGATATGCAAGTACCTCTCTCAAAGCTGCACCCCCTTTCTCCTTCTCCCTCCTAATATCCTTATCATATAATACACTAGCCTATAGTTTATGTGCTCCAAACATATGCACTCCAGCCATCAGTCTTGGACATTTACAAGGCGATCCCAGGCCGCTATTCTCTTGTTTAACGACTGGTATCGAATATCTTCCTCCTTCACGAAAAAAAAAATAAAAATCTCATCCTTTTAACAGACACTCTTAACATGTGGATGGGCACCTAACACTCCCATCAATCTTTTATACAAATATCTCTCCACACATCAAGTCCTTAGATGAATAAGAAAGCAAATGGAAGTGGTGTTGTGAATTCCAAGAGTAAAATAAATCTCGCTGCAGTAGAAAGCGCCAAACCTCAGAAATCCCTGACTCTAGCGAGGAATGTGCAAAGGTCTGGCTGCGGTACATCAACTTATTCTTTTCCTTTTCCCGCTCCCTTCACTGTTTTCTGGCACAGTTTGCCTTTGCGTTTGGTCATGTTTTTGTCTCTCTTTTCGTCTGGACACAGGATCCTTTATTTCTACCTGTCACTCTCCAAACCCAACCCATGCCCTGCTATTGTCTTCTTCCTCATTTGTCTGTAGGGCCTTCTTTTTTGTTCCAAGCCTTGGGAGGTGATTTAACACTTGGATTTTGAGCAGACTGAATAGATGGGAGTTTCTCTCATAAGTTGTCACACTGCGAGGTCACACACTCCATCACATAGTAGATGATAGGCAGATGGCAAGAGCCGTGAATTTAAACAAAGTGGTCAGAGTAGGTAGGTCGTGAGGCATTGTGCTTCAAGCCCTTCGCTTGCTTTGAATGACACCTCCTTGTACCTGCTTTATTTCAGGAACATAAAAGTTGCTTTGCAGGTTACTATGGCAGCTTTGGTTATATGCATGTAGAATGAATCAGTGATGCAGGACAGCGCAGTAACTCAGGACTTGTCACATACTCTAAATCAAGGCAAGGCATACTAAATAGATTTCTCTTTGTGTGATTAGTAGGTATAATCACAATCACACAGCATATATCTTTGACATGTGTCCTAGGAGTAAGACATACACAAGCACACACACTGTAGGGATGGATAAACTCAATCATACATATGCAACCTCTCTAAAACAAAAGTATGAGTGATGATATGCAGATGTGAAAGGTTATGTGTACACACAATACACATACAGACAGATGTCTAGTGTGTTTGCTCTGTGTTGTCACAGCCTGGCTGTATTTAAAGTGACAAGGTCCAGACTTGACCTCTTTAAAGTGACAAGGCAGGGATGAGAGGTAAATATAGATTTTGTGTTTATGTGTCCATCACATACAGTACGTGCACACGTGCCTAGACTGGAGATAAGTCAGGAATCAAGTTATATGTTGTTATGAGAGGAAAGGGCAATAGGGATTAAGAGCAACACATTTAAAGTAAAGGAATGAGAAAGACAAAATGGTTTAGCAAAGCTTAGCAAAGTCTTTTATTAGTAACCATCATAATCTGTGTGGTTAGTCAGGGGGATTCGGATCGGAATATATATTAGATTTGAAGAGGACTTATCAACACTAAGAGGGCTGCGTGTGCTCTGAATATTGAAAACCATCTTTAATGTTTGAGTGATCATCAGAAGAGATGGATCTCCAATACTATCGCAGATCAAGCACACACATAGAAGCACGAAAACACACACTGCCATACCAAGCTTCCGTATACCACACAGTCCTCTCCCTCTCTAACAAATATCTCTGCCTGCAGCTGCACACTCTCCATCAGCCCTGAGAGTTTACAAGGATTAGGTATGTCAGTGCACTAGCCCCGCCCGTCTAAACACTTTCTCTCACGTAAACACACACACGCACGTACAGATGCCAAAGCTGTTAAAAGCTGGATTAAGTGTTTCCCTGGGAAGGAGGCTGTGTGTCCTGGCTGTGCTGTCAAGGTGCTGTCAGATAGCTCTCCTCATTCCAGCCTCCTTTGCTCTACACTCATTGTCATAACTATGCAAACAACAGAGTAACTGTGATCCACATTTAAAGTAGTCTAATATCAACAGTCTGAACTGCTGCTGAGCTCGGAAGAGGGACTTACAAGAAGAAAAAGCAGGCACATACAGTATACTATACTGTGCATATGACAAATCACTTCTTCACCTGCTTGTTGACGTGTAGTTAATGGTGACCATATTGAAATATAGTGTCAGTGTTTAATTTTAGTATGCATTCACAAATCAATAATGCATTCCTATAAAGTCTGAAGGTGGTAAAGATGTTAAGTCCAAGAGAATGTAGACAAAATGGTGTGATCAGAAGATGGAAATGCAGAAAAAAGCACAAGCAACAGAAGACAAGCAGAGATGTGATTTAGTCTGCTGGTATCAAATTTGAGCAATGCTTTTCCATGTTTGGTGTCTTATGTATAGTGTTGCAATTTCAGATGTGCATATTAAACGTGGCAAAAGTTTCCGATAACGAGGTATGTAGTACATAAAAGTAGCTTAATACCTGTGCGCACAAATCCCAAGCTGTAGAACTCTCCGTTTCCAGTGGTGTTTTCTACTCTGGTTACAGGTGTTATCATAGTGTGACAGATTTCTTATGATCATCTGCCACGGGTATGCTACTGCCAAGTGATTACATTATGTAGCCTAACTACTAAATTAAGCTACATACTGTAGCTACATGCTAAAGTCAGGGAAAGATGTAACCTTGGTTGCCGATGTTGTTAATTTCTCCCTGATTTTGGATTCTGGAACATCCATCCATCCATCCATCCATCCATTTTCGTCCGCTTATCTGGGGCCGGTTCGCGGGGGCAGCAGGCTGAGCAAAGCACCCCAGACATCCCTCTCACCGGCAACACTTTCCAGCTCCTCCTGGGGGACCCCATGGTGTTCCCAGGCCAGACGAGATATGTAATCCCTCCAGTGTGTTTTGGTCTACCCCGGGGCCTCCTACCAGTGGGACATGCCCGGGACACCTCCAGCGGGAGGCGCCCAGGAGGCATCCTAGTCAGATGCCCGAACCACCTCAACTGACCCCCGCGAAGGAGCAGCAGCTCTACTCCGAGCTCCCTCTAGATGTCCAAGCTCCTTACCCTATCTCTAAGGCTGAGTCCAGCCACCCCGCGGAGGAAACTCATTTCCACTGCTTGTATCCGCGAACTCATTCTTTTGGTCACTACCCAGAGCTCATGATCATAGGTGAGGGTTGGGACGTAGATGGACCAGTAAATCGAAAGCTTTGCTTTCTGGCTCAGCTCCCTCTTCACCATGACGGACTGGCGCATCACTCCGTCGGAGCTTGAATCTGTGATTTTTCACAGTAGAAAGTGCCACTTTTCTCCATCACAGTCACTCCCCTGCAGCAAGTGCACCGCTACATGTAGCTACATTAAAGAGACAGGTGCTAAACAGAACTGTCTCAAACACAGTGTGAATACAGGTGTTCCAGCAGAGACAGTAGCAGGAAAATAAAGTGGTTTTTGTGATTGTTAAAGCATGTAAACATGTTCTAGCGGCAACCCGAACAAATATGAACCTTAAAATGAGTATTTTAGATTGCCTTTTAAGCCTTTTCGACAGCATCTGTTTTTATTGAATTCCATAGCACTGCCACCAGTAAACTACCATCACTTCCAATAATACACCAGTGCTGTACACAATAAACAGATACGTTCCAACAGCTGCATCATGTCCCTCACATCACAGGTGAATGACACTGAAGGCCAGTTTTTAAGGCCATTATGGGCCTGGCATGCTGTATCAGTTTTACAGTTATACCACAGACAGAAACAGAGAGTGACAGCAAATTAAGTGCTTGGCAATAGACATGCAGGCAGAGAGAGAGAGGGAAGCGAGGAGAAGGGAGAGGAGGAGGAGAGGAACTTGAAGCTGCCTCCAAGCGGCCCAGACACAGTAAATCATTACCACCATAAACCACAGAGCCAATAAAAAGCACAGCCTCACCCCGCTATCAGAACCAGAGGGAGAGGAGGAGAGGAGGAGCAGAGGGTATAGAAACAGATTCTCCCCATCTGGATTCATTACAGGAGAAAAAATAACTTCCCGCGGAAATACACGCAAGTATATGCGCAGAAAGACACGCGCACACAGACACACACTCGGCAGCTATATAATCACAATCAAGAAAGGCTCGAACATTTCAAAGACAAACATGTTTTTTCCTGTGGTCTAATAAAATTAAAAGTCGATGCCTCAGATGCCGGGCTGGCCCCGGAGCTGCCTGGCAATTAGAGAGCAGTAAAAAAGGGAAATGAGAAAGGGAGTAAAGAGAGGGAGAGAGACTGAAGGAGGGGTGCAGGGCTCGATAGAGGGAGGGATGTGCTGAATTACTAGATTGGGACCATGTGAACTCCCAGAGGCAAGGCGATGCTTGGGTGAAGGATTGGCGAGGAAGATTGGCTAAGGAGAAAGCACGACGCCAAAAAAGGGACGGGACGGCGGTGAGAGGAAGGAGAAGAGATGGTTTATGGGGTTCCAAATTAAAACATGTTTCTGAGAGATGCAGAGGAACAATAGATGCTACTATAAATGCCAAAGGACAAACCACTGTGCTGCTTCGTATATGCAATATAAGCAGAAACTAATGTGAAACTTCTTGAACATTAGAATGGGAGTTTGATATTTCCACCTGCTCCAGAGACATTTAATGTGGTAACCAAGCATGGCCTTGTTTTTTCTTGTCTTGATGAAATTAGCCAGTGATTCCTCCAAGAATCATACATTTCAAAGCTTTTACTCTTTACACTTTTACTCACTTGATACTTGCTTGAGTCACAACAGCAGAAATCTAATGTACAAAAAATTATATTTGATCATGTTTGCAGAAAATATCAATATGTCAAGGTTTAACCCTCAAAGGTTACTCAGGAGACAAAGATGTGGGTATACCTAAAGAGAAGATTGCAGATGATGAAGCTTGTTTTGATGAGTTAAGGCTGCATCTCTCTTGCAAGTGAAACGCATTTTGTCACTGATGTGTTCAAGTCTGTATACGCACAATCCAATTTTTGCATTAGTGAGCATCCCCTCGTTCCACCAACCAACCCAGGGCCGCAGCCTTTAATGTGGCCCCACTGGGCAGCAAACTGAATTACGCTAACAGGAACCATAGACAATTGCCAGGATGCAACACCGGGGGACTGAACTTCCACTGAACCTCGCAATGAAGGAACTCACTCTCTGTCTTTCGCTCTGTGTCTGTCTGTGTCTCCCACCCAGCTCCCTCCCCGGTAACGGTGATCAAAAAGGAGAAGACGTCTCGAAACAGCGTCTCCCTGTCCTGGCAGCAGCCTGAAAGACCCAATGGCATTATCCTCGACTATGAGATCAAATACTACGAAAAGGTTGGTGCAGAATTTGTCACTGTTCTCATGTGTCTTTGAGCAAGGCAGCATCATCAACTGAACTCCTTAAAGGCATAGTTCAACATTTTGGGAAATACGCTTTTTTGCACTCTTGCTGAGAGTTTGATGAGACGATTGACACCACTGTGATATCTGTTTGATAACCTTAAGGCTACAGCCAGCATGTAATCTATAACAAGGGTTCCCAACTGGTGAGTCACGGTCCAAATGTGGGTCGCAGGTCCATTCTGTATGGACCGTAAGTGACTCGAGGATTGTCAAGGTTGTAAAAAATACACTTTATTTTGAAGTACATTTCGGCACAGAGCTTTTATTTTGAAATGATGGATGTAGCTGTAGAATGAGTGAATGATGGGAAGCTACTTGACAGAGACAGCAAACTAGCTTGGCAGCATGGCCAAACTTAAGTGTAACACTGAATATATTAAACTGTGTGGACCTTGAACTAATGACTAAGGAGAAATCTGGACCCCGTCGCTGGACCAGTTGGGGACCACTGAACTATAATCTGTTAATTAGTGAGCTGTAGAGTTGGCATAGTTAAACTATACAGGACTTTCCTATCTAACTAACTAACTGACTCTTGCAGAAGTAATCTCTCTTAATCATCACTTATGTTTGAATCAGGAGAAGTGTGCACAGACCCTGCCCTCTGCTTGTATTTTCTTCTCATTTGCTGTCTTTGGGACAACCCTGGGCACAGCACACAGGTGAGGTTGGGACTTTATAAATAGGTAGCGACCAGGTACAAGACCATAGGTAGCACGTATCAGAAATGAAGCTTCACAAATCAGTGACACAGCACATAAGAAACACAAATATAGTGTGGCTAAACACCAATCTTGGGTTGGCTTTCACTTTCGCTGATGATACTGTTTACATCGTACAAACAGTAACCATCACTTCCTGCATATTGTACTTTTAACTGTGGACAGAGACGGGTTAGCTGTTTCACCCATGGATGTTTTACTAAGAGAATGACTCAAAAGATGGCAAACCTTTCATTCTTATAAAATTTGCTCACTCGCATACGTTGAAAATGTCCTCACAGGCTTCTTCATTCTTTGTTTTTGGGTCCAAACAGCGTTCTCACTAGAGTCCTCCAGTCGAGGGCGTGCACATTTCAGACTTCCTCTGACCGTGCATTCTGACTTCCTGTTGGTTCCTTGCACACATCAATGGGACACAATGATTTAATCCTAGTCCTTTAGTCTAGACTTTCTAAATTCCACTGAAAGAACTCACTTCGTTTCATTTCAGTGTTTTACAAACCCTCTTTTTCCAATGATTGTATATGGGAAAAATGCTTTTTGGGCTACCGTGCGTCACATGGTGATTCAGAAGTTACAATAGCGGGTGTGGTCGTTACGCCAAAATGGCCTCACACAGCCCAACACTGTTCAACTCATTGATGGTCTTTGTTCTAAGATAAGCTGACTGGCTGCAAATGTACTGTATAGATATGAGAATAGTATCACGCCTTTCATGTACCTCTTGGATAGAAAGCGAGTAAGTGGATTTCCAAAATGACAAACTATTGTTGTAAAGGTACACTATGCGGGAATTGTCAGTTAAGTGAAAGTGGAAGCCAATCGAGATGTTTTAGGTGCTGTGTCTACTATTTCCATAGTTTTCTCTTGGTTGCATGCTCCATATGGTCTGGTTCTTGTTCGCTACCTTTTTGTAAAGTTCCGACCTCACCTGCGTGCTCTGCCCAAGAGCGTCCTAAACATAGCAAAATTAGAGGAAAATCTTTAGAATAATTAAATAAATACAGACAGAGGACAGAATCTCTTCAAATAAATACACTGCCAAACACTTCCAGTGGGCCATATGTGATGATTGAGAGGGCTAACTTTTGTAAGAGTCTTTCCTTTTTTTTTTTTTTTTCAGAAAGTCCTGCATAGTATACCTTTCAGTGTAGTGTTTGCTGGATGGTTTTTGTTTTCTGTGTGTTGTTTTGAGCCAAAAGTCACGCTACAAGAAATTAGATTAATAGATAATTTAACTCAGTTTTGGCATTCTATATCCTGTTTCCTTTGTACAATAAGTTTGAGGTTTAGGTTAAAATAGTTGGCATGACATCAGTGTTGCCCAGTTCTTTTTACCATCCCACCTTTCTCCTCTACTACTTTACTTTTATCCTTGTTTCTTCATCTTTTTGGTCTTGCTGTCTTCATTTTTCTGCTTCGTACGCCTCCTCTCCTCCCCTTATGTTTACCTCTCATCTCCTTTTTTCATCTCTTCCTCTCTCTATTTCTCATCCTGTCCTCCTCTCCTCTCCTTAATGGAGACAAGTTTTATGGCAGACAGTAAATGCGTCTGTGGGGTCGCTCATTCCTCTGTGAGGGAAATTAGTGCAGAACGAATTACACTGGCTTTCAGCACCAATGCTGTGCTATGGCTGACATTTGATGGTGAAATTAGCCGTGGATGCAAGTTTAATCACTCTGGCAGATTCAGCGTGTATATGTGTGTGTGTATGTGTGTGTGTGTCCCAGAACACAGTTTGCTTGAATGCCAACAGTGGCCCCTAATCTCTTGATTAGTAGGCCGACAGAAGCTGTTTCCTCTCTAAACTCTGTTCCCTGCTCAGCCATCCTTACCTAAGATGTTAAAACAAGGCCTGAAAACAGCGAGAGGAAAAGTTAATGACTGATACTGGGTCAGAGCTCAGTGCAGATCTAATTCTCAGCTGTTAATCGCACACATATGCTCACACGTTACAACTGCATATTCATTAAAAGAAGATAAGGGAAAGAATGAAAGGGTGGAGTCTGAGGAAGAGTCTGTGTGACAGCGTTCAGAATGAAAAGTCTCTTGGCCTTTGCGTTGATCCCCGTTAATCACATCGTCTCTCAGGAATTGCTGGAGACACTTGGGGACAGACACACAAACGCACACACACACACACACAAGTTCCCAGAGGATTCTCCACAGCAGCCATACATACCCAGGGATTTCAAACCCCAGACAAAAGACTCCTCCATGCAGAAGAGTGAACTGGGACAACCAGAGGAGACCCCCCATAACAACCCAGGACAGAGGCCTCTTCGTGTGGCAGGCAGAGGGACGCTGAGGGCCTCTAGCATGCCAAAGATCAAGGCTGTAGGAGGACAGGAGCTGGAGCACAAATTCCCCACACCAAGACCACACCATGACTCACTTATGAGACAGAAAGAGGCTTTTAGAGACTCATACTCACACACAAGCAGATATAATTGCATGTACGCATAAACAGGATGGTGAAATGGAACACAAAAACAGACCGAGAGAGATTAAAAGAGAGCTTTTAGCAAGAAGAAGATGTTCAGATTTGCAGCATCAGCCAAACTTTCTGCTTTTCTGTGTTTGTGGTTTTCTCTGTCTTTATTTACACAAGTTTGAACCAGACCTACACAGTGTACATTATCATGTAATCCAATAGCAATTTACCGATGACTCCGGCTTCTCCTAATGTAGAAAAATGAACATTTTGCCAACAACCACACAACAGCATTCAAAGCAAAAGTACCTCTGTAAAGCAGATGAATAACAGAATGGAGCAACAGATTTTTGGCAAACCAGTGTTTGACAAGGAAAGTCATGACAGTTGTGTTTTCTTTGTGGGGATAAAAAATCAAATACGACTGCTTTGTGTCAGAAGCAGGATAAGGAAAGTGTTAGAGGGCGTTAAGCTCTATAGAGTGAGGCAGAACACATATATTAATCATCACAACTCTTTCAGTCTCATATACACTATAAATCCAAAGTGCTGATTAGACTCCTCATGCCTAAAGTAATGCACCAGTTTTGTGCAACATCCTGCAAACTGATGAAGACATGGACATTTGAGGCTTTATGGGAGCTTCTATATCAGGGTCCTGGGCCCTAATCCAAGTACACTTGACCCCAAAGTCCAACTGTACCAAAACACAGAAGTGGACTGCCACTTAATGCCACTACAGGGAGTTTTCAACCAGTTATGAAACCGTCTAATTTGTGCTGATGCCTCTATATCAGACAGCAGCACAGTCTACCATGGATGGACCCAGATTTGGCTTCACTGCAGCCTTCAACTTGCAGTTAAAGGTTCAGCAGGAGGTGGAGGGCTGTGCACCAGACAGCAGTGGCTGCTTCCCAAGCCAGGAGCAGAGCTTTGCGTCACCGCTCTGCCGGATCAACAGCAAAAAATGCCACGTAGATGATGATGCAAGTGTACTTGACAGTGTGAAAGTTGAGTGGTGGGAGAGAAGAGAGGGGAGGGGGGGCAATTGTGCTCAGGCACGGTACAAATCAATCGTACCTAATTTGAAAATGCCCTTAATAATCTTTCATGTGCATCCAATGGATCATTTACTTTAGCACATGAATTATGTTGTGTGAGTTCAAATGAAGCAGTAGCAGGTCTGCAGCATGAATAATCTTCAATGTGTGTGTGCAAGGATGCATGTATGTTGTTTACAAAACTGCAAAAAATAATACTACATAAGTGCCAAAATCTAAACATTTTAAAATCCTTTAAAGTTCATACAGGAAGTAGGGAGTTGGTAAATTTTTACGTAAAAACTCATCAGGAAACTGATGCACTGAGAGACACTACAATATACTGAGCCCAAATGAGAAACCTATCAGGAACTTACTGAGCAGCTGCAACAAAATGTATGTTACTGGTGCGATAAATTTTAACTAAGCAAAACTTGGATGAAGCCAAGCTATATAAATGCAGTAGTGATGGCAGATATGCTGATATACGTCACTGTAGGGATAAAGTTAAGTAATACAGTGACATCTAAAAGAATAAAAATAATCTAATACTACAGTAATGATCTATTGCTCTGAATCTTTAGTCTACTTTTTTAATGATTAAGTACTTAAAAAACACTACTTTCTCCCCATACTGTTTTTATATGCTGTCTTGCTGAGTAACACAGTTATAGCAAAAAAATAAGATATTTACATTAAGGCTATAATCTACTTGAGAAAGGTGGAGATTTTAATGATATTAGTAGATGATATACCTCCGACCCACTCAGTGTTTGGAATTAACCTCACCTCCGTCTTCGCCCGTGCTGTCTCCGTTAACACATACCACTGTGTCACACGGTCGTGAAACCAGAGGCCCACGTTTCCAAAGTGCGAGGGCCGTTTTCCTTAACTATGTATCCTATATATGGGAATTCTTAGGGAATGTTTGCTGATATTCTTGGGAATTCCCATCCAGAAAACTTCCCAGAAGTAGAGAGGTGTTTCATCTTTGGAAATCCCAGGCTAACTGCGTGAGCTTCTCGTCGCTTGAACCGGCTAAAGGGTGCTCTGCAGCCGATAAGGCATTTCCAAGTGCACTTTGTGAAAATAGAATTTTGTGGGAATACACTTTGCTGATTGTTTTTGCATGTTTTATCAGTGTAATCTAAAGAGCAGAGTAAAAGCTTCAGATCCACTTTAATTTGGGCTGTTTATTTAGTCTTAGATGGAAGGAATGCTGGCTGAAACACAGTATTTACAAGACTTCTGCTGTACATCTCCTGTTTTTGGGGCTGTATGAGTTTGCATCTATGTGTGTGTGTGTGTGTGTGTGTGTGTGTGTGTTATACAAGCTATAATTTGCTACAGCTTTGTTTAGATTGTCAAAGCAGAACGCAGCACAGAGGCCATATTAAATTCTAGCAGTGCTCTGGTACGACACACACAAGCAGATAGTTCACAATCACACAGCTTGTCAGGCTGCAGTGTGCATAAAAGAGAGGTGTCAGACCTGGGTTTCTTTGTCTGCCTCTTTGTATCTCTCCCCCTCTCTCTATCTCTATCTCTCACACATACACACACGCGCACACACACACGAAGGTGCTTGCACCACACCTGTGTGTGATTTTCAGGGGATCACATGCTGTCCTGGACGCGGAACGGTGACAAGCTGCGAGTAGATTTATAGCTGTGATGAGGAGTTGTCCCAGTGCAGGTCTGGTGTATCAGTTACCTCCTCACACATAGAGCAGTTTAAAAAGCTTTGTGTGCCGTAAAACTCTGATCCACTCCATTAATGGGCCTGAAGTTTCTTTTGGACGCTCCTTGTGCGTGTGTGTGTATGTGTGTCTACATGTGTTCACCGTTGCCTGTACCAATGTGTGCGCCTTTTATAACTAGGTCTATAAAGTCAGGATTTGACTATGCCTGAACAACATTTGGCCTTGGATGATTTTTATGAGCTTGGCTATGTTGCAAAACATGTAGCTCATTTTTAGGATTGTTGAAGTCATGTCTAATAGGTTGTCTTTAAGATTTAAGATCTGCCTCGACCTGTTTTCCAACTATTTAGCAGTCTGTTTCACAGCATCAGATTAATTCTATGGTGTGATTGTGAGCCATTCTGCAGCACGGATTGGCTTAACAGTTTTTTACCTTGGACATTTTAAACACACTGTGAGGCACAGACAGAGAAACACAGCCTTTGGTGTTAAATGTATTTTTGTGTATTACTTTCTCAATCATGGATTTTTACTTTTGACATATTTGTTCAAAGAAAACATTGAAAGACACATTTTAATAGCACTTAATATGTATTTTTTTTATGAAATAATCACACATACACATAAAAGTAAAGCAAAATAAACACAAAACTGAATGATAATGTTGTGGATTTATCTCTGCACAATAAAATGTTTGGTTCACTGTAGTCAATGGGGTGAAACCATAAGGGACACAGCTGTTTTTTCTTGAGGTCTGCTTCACATCAGCTCACTTATTACACATGAATATTTTCTTTTGTTTTAATCTCCATTTTCTTTTCATAATTATTATGATATTGACAGATTTTTTTTCTTTCATCTTTCAAATTTGTGTCAAATTGTCTTTCCAGATGGTTGTATATTTATATAAGCAACACTTGGCAGTCATGAAGCATCCTACAACACAGAAAATGAACAAAATAACAGTATTAGATTGGGCCCTCCTAGCTTCCTGACTGTAGAAATGTCACTGCACAGAGCCTGAATTAAAAACGGGCTACTTTCTTTTTTTCCTTCGTCATCTACCTCCTGTCTTCTCATCTTTTCTACACCATTTTTCTTCCTTCCACATCTGGAAACAATGTGCCGAGTGCAGCCCTGGTGTGTAAATCCTCCTGTTGTTTTATCAGTGGAGATCAGTAGGAGAGAAGTCATAAAATAAGAAGAGCATAATTCTTCAGATTGGGACGAAAGCTGCCAAACTGTCTGGGATGTTTGTGTATCGGTGTGTTTGCATGTGTGTGAAAATGTTCATGTGCATATTTTATGTTGTTTTGTATATGTATATTGTATTCATCAATCGTTTCAACCCAGACTAAACTGTAGTATTTGTCTTTAAAACATGTTTAATTCCTTTCTTTGTCCCTCTCTTTCTTTGTCCTCCTTGGCCTACAGGAGGAGCAGGAGACCAGCTACACCATCCTTCGCGCTCGGGGCTGTAATGTGACTCTGAACGGTCTGAAGCCCAACACTGCCTACCTGCTGCAGATTAGAGCTCGGACCGCTGCCGGATATGGAGCCAGCAGCCCCAGTTTCCAGTTTGAGACCAGCCCCGACTGTAAGTTCAGCTCAGAATAGAAATTTTATAGTGATTCTTTTACTGCTGTTTTAGATTAAACTGGTATATGGGGGGTATGAAGATGAGGCACAAGGCCAATATTGTCCTTTCATAAAAAATAACTGATTATGAAACCAGTCCTATCTATGTTATTTTTTTGTCCTGGATTTCAAAGAATGTTTTTTCCTTTTCTAATAGCTGTGTCAGAAACTGTAGTATGAAGTAACAGCTATAAGGTCAGCACTGCCACATGACTTGTTGCTCTCTGTCTTTCAGCAGCCTTCTCTATCTCCAGTGAGAGCAGCCAGGTGGTTCTGATCGCCATTTCCTCCGCCGTGGCCATCATCCTGCTCACTGTGCTGCTCTACGTCCTGATTGGCAGGTCTGTACTAGTCACTTGAGTGTTTTCTCCTCCAATCACAGCAAACCTTTTGCTCTCTTCCCTCAGTGGTACCTGAAAAATAACTGTATATGTATCTTTCAAAGTGACCTTACACGTTTCAACACCACATACTGTAAATTTTGATATGTCAGCAAATACACTTCCATCTATCTTTCTCTCTCCCTCATAACTTCTGTAACATGTACTGTCACAACTGTGTGTATGTATGTATATAAGAGAAACCTACAAATTGTGTGTGCATGCCCGTGTGTGTGTGTGTGTGTGTGTGTGTGGCTGAAGTTGGCAGTCAGTACTGTTCAGAGAGAGTATAAATCCATGGCTCATTATAAGACTTACTGATCCTCTCTTGGTTTATAAGAGCTGGGATTACACACACACACACACACACACACACACACACATGCACATACACGCAGAATTCCTACTAGCCTCAAGGCTGGGCCAATGGGTGAAGTCTTATTGGGAGATGTGGCACTACTTATGACCTTTCTCTGTTTGGATTGGCAGGTTTTGTTGCCACAGTAAATCCAAACATCCTGATGAAAAAAGACTGCACTTTGGCAACGGCCACTGTAAGTACTGCACCCTGTTTCCCCGAGGCTTGGTTCCATCTATCCTCTCTGCATTTCACCGTTCACAGAATACAAATACATCTAGGTAGTCACAGCGTAGATATAGTTTGATAGTCACAAGCGGGAAGTTGTTTTCCTTGTGTGTCTTTATCAGTGGTGGTTGTTTAGAGCAGCTGTTTCCAAGCTTGAAGTGGTTTCCCCTTTACTTCGGTTCGTTTGGTCATATGAGAAGACAGTAATCGGACCGAGACCATGTTAAGAAGACGGTTTCTCGGTCCATTTGCGAACCAATCCTGGAGGCTTCATTTGGATAGGGAACAAGATCAGACTGTTCTCTTTGCCAGCTGCGGCATGAGCTGAGACTCAAGGTTTAAACTGTCTCTAATTATAGGGTTTACTCCAGAGGAAAGTCCTTTCCATTGATACATTTTTGACCAGTGACAAGTAAGTCTTACTCACGTGGCTTTTTAATGCAGTTGAAAGTAACAATCTCTGATGTGGACCATCACAAAGGGACAAAAGGTTTAACATAACTCACATTCTCTTGCCTCCTATTTGTTGCTTCTTTATTCATATATGATGTGGAATTTATTAGGACAACTCCTACCTTTGACCTTTACCCAGGTATTGGCCCCAAACTCCCTAAGGATTGAACTGTGCTGTTTCATGAAAAGTATGGATGGGTCAGATGTAAAGCATAAATTTCTCCACAGGGACTAATAAAGTACAAATTTATTACCTAAAGGATAGGTTCACTTTTTTTTTTTAAGTCTGTCTTAAAAACAGTACCCACATACTTATATATACATTGAAAGTGTTTTCAGTTGCTGTGATTGTTCCTTTTTAGTTCATTTGTGTGCTTGTATCACAAATCAGCTGCACATTAATGACTGTGTGGCTTGTTCAACTTAGCAGCATCTGCAGTCGTATTCTAACTCTAATTTGCTGCCTTAACTGGCTTCTGTTCGCTTGAAGGAAATTCCTCACCGACACTCAATTATCGAGACAATGAAGACTCCACCATTTACAAATTTTTGGTTTTGTCGCCCAGTTTCATTGTAGACATATCATCACTTATCATCAATATGTATTCCGTGTTGTCTTCACATAAAAGCTGAGCGGCAGCAAGGTGACATGTCTGTACAAAGTCATATGTGGATTTAAGGACACATATAAAGAGGCACAGAGTTTTTACATGGTCATTAACTGATGCAATCTGCTCTCATCTGCTGCAGTGCGTCTGCCGGGTATCAGGACCTACGTGGACCCCCACACGTACGAGGATCCGAGCCAGGCTGTGCATGAGTTTGCAAAGGAGCTGGACGCCTCCTGCATCGCTATCGACAAAGTGGTGGGAGCAGGTGAGAACCAACAAGGAAAAATGCTTGATCAGACTTTGCTGCATACACAGACATCATGCAGTGTACTTCAGACAAGAAAAATTCAACTAAAGCTGGTTTGCAAAATGAAAATTCAGTTCAGTTCACTGACATTCTGAAAACAGTTTTCTAAACAGGGGTTAATTCTGCCGGTCAGTTAGGGTCCGATCACACAGGAAGCTTTTTGAAGGCAGCAAAACTTGGGCACTGCACTGCCTTTTTTTACACTAATGGCCACTAGTTTAAAAAAAATGCTTGCTGCACCTTTTTATTGTCGCCAGGTAAGCACCCCATGGTCTCCTTTTCCTAACCTCAAGCTACCTTTTTTTCTTAACAATAATTAGTATCTAGTTCCTAAAATGGACAGGCAGACAGTACTTGCTGCAGCTCTGGTTGAGGTTGAGAGGCTATCAGCAAATAGTTTGTTGGGCGCAGGGAAACGGAGATCTGTGTGGCTACATTAGACCCTAAAAAAGAGGGTGGGTCATGGGGAATACCGCCAGTCGGTCCAGGGGCTTCGCCTCCATGATGGTCATTTCCAGGCATATTTTAGGAAGACTCAGGGGCAGTTTGACAACCTGCTGACGTTGGGTGCTTTTCCACTCTGAGCTGAAGTTTTTCAACTCAAGGAGTTCAGAGCACTCCGACAAAAACGCCAGGTGCAGAAACGTGAAGCGCAATCTCATTAAAAACAAATAAGAAAGGTGCCTCTATCTGCCAAAATGCATTTTGTGTGAAAGATCAGTGACTTTCTAGAAATACTCCAGACTATGTTAGACTGTCACTAGTAGTATACATTCAGTGAAGTGAACTGTCTATTCCTAACTCTCCCTGAATTCTCTTAAGTATTAGCAGTTAGCTAGCACCTCATTGAACAAAGCAGAGACATAAATTAAGATAAATAAACTCACATCTGGAAATGTTTATTAGTCCAGAAAACAGGTGCTAAAGAGTCATTCCAAATTTGTTTTTTTAAACTGCAAAAGAAAGAGCAGGTTAAGAGAAAGAAATGGTTTCTTCCTTTCCCCAGCCTCCTCTTTCCTACTCTCACCTCACAGTAACTTCCTTCGACTTTCTTACTCTTTCACGCTCTGTTTAAATGACAAAGACACACCAAGTGCTCAAGCACATATAGAAAAAAAATGAGGTGCATGTAGAGCTCCCATATATCTACATTTTTGTAGCAGCAGGCTAGTTTAACTGTGTGCCATATACTGCACAGCTGGGAATGAGAAAGCATTTAATGCCCCAGCTTGAAGTCCCTTCTTTCCAGCCCTCCTCTATGATGGAGGGAGAGATGGTGAAATTAGAAGTTGTTCTGCTCACCTTCAGTTGGCTCATTTTTAACTTTCCTCTTTCCACCCTATATATTTTACACCTTCATTCTCTTATTTCTTCACATTTCCCACAGGCGATTGCCTGATGCTCTAATTCTGAAGTCGAAGGAACGCAACAGTAAAACAAGCCTCCTCCCCTCTCCTCTCTTCTCCTCTCATCATGTACTCCCTGATAACTTGAGCAGGAGTGCAGACGGGAGGGTAATGCATTGTGATTCATGTCGAGTGCAGGCAGAATAGATGGAGAGTAAAGCACACAGCCGAAGCACAGAGGCCTGTCTCCTGAGTCCCAACAGCCCTCCACATTGTAAAGCTGTCAGGACGGCCTGAGAGTCTAATACCTGACTCCACACTGGACTATGCTACACTCCACAATGCATTTTTCATAGTAGATAGCAGGCACAAAGCATATGAATAGCTATAGGGCTACAATGATACATAGGTAGATATTGGCTTATTTATTAGAACTCAGCTATATACAAGTCAGTCTCTACTTCTGATATGAAGTGTTTGTATTTATTTATGTAGACTCTATCAGTGCTACACTGATTCTCTGTGGGAATCCCTTTTTGTGATTTTCATTTTACACAATTACAGACCAATTACAGGGCCATGCAATTCATGCATCATTACTAGCTGCAAAAACATTGCAATGGCATTGTTTTTACCTTGTGAGTCTGTGTGTGTGTCATCATGGCGAAATCTGCTCCTGTTGGAAACTACCAAAGAAGCAGTTTGAGTATTTGGGAGGTGTTTATATGCCTGTCTGTCTGTCTGTCTGTCTGTCTGTCTGTCAAATGTGCAAAATGCAGTCACAACCCTTTACAGGTGTGTAGTTGAGATCATATTGAAGGGAGAATTTGAAGAGGTGTGTGGTCTGAACAAGGGGAGGGAAAAACAGGGGTAGAAAGTGGGTAAGGGGCCACACACACACACACACACACACACACACTTTACGCTGCTGGCGGACATTTGACTTCACTTGTGGATCACTGCATCACTGCGAGATGGTCTCTCGTTAAATTTACATGTGAAGCAATGTCGCAGCCATACAGAAGAGAGAAAAATATGATCAGTGGAAAACACAAGGGAAAATATTGTATTAATAATATGATATATAATTAACACCACCCTCTGTATCATCCCTTTAAAACCAATATCAGTTGAACCCTAATACCCTCACACACACTTGAGTTAACACCAAAGAAGGCTACACTATAGTATATGATACATTTTTAATGTGCACAGTGCATGGCCGAGACAAAGTATATTTATTTTAGTGTGTCTCCATACTTACATGAAGTTCAACATCCCATTGTGCAGTCTATTTTTAATCTATGCTGGAAAGCAACTGTGAGATCATGTTCAGTTTTACTCAGTACCAAATAATTGCCTCGCGTTCACTCTACAACAACAAACTTTAGGTGTTAGATGATTGGAGCCACTTGAGGCAATCGCTCTTTGGAGAGTCCAATGCTGTACTTAGCTTAAGGATCACATTCATTTACACCTTAAAGACAAAATGATGATTGTTTTGTTCGCCTTTAGCAAGCACAGCTCCCTTGAGGCTTTGACAGTAATTGCTTTTGGGATATAATGTGTTGTTGCTACATGCGATTGCTAATGAAATAATAGTTTTACTGGGATATATATATATATATTTTTTTAGTAGTAACCAGTACAGTAGTAGACACAACATGTCTTGTCTTAGGATATGGACAGAAAACCCTCGGAATATTTTGATGTCTTCAGAAAAAGCATGAGATCCACCATATATCCACATATCCACCACGTATTTCAGCCACCTTAAAAGTCAATGATATTATAAGACTACACTGTATTTGAAATATTTTCTTGCTTTACCGTACACACTAACTGGTGAAGGCAATGATAGACCAACAACTCCTAAAGTATACTGTTCATTCAATGGCATATGGTGGTTTTGAGATAACAGCTTCAGTACCCATCAGAAAGGACAGTCAATTGGCAAGGTAAAGCTATAAAAACATTCTAAATATAGCGTACACTTGAACTAGTGTTAATTTTTAGGGGGCTTTTTTTTTTAAGTGGCTACCAAACCAACCAGCTGAGGCATCGTTTGCTCATCACCATTTCGTTGTATGTACTTGATGTGGGTGTTTGCTTCCCAGAAGTTGTTCTAAACAAACATTGTGATTTGGTCTCTTGGAATGCCGGTTAGCAGGGAGAGGAAGTGAGACTTCAGCTCTTGACTCTAAATCTATTGTAAAATCAGTAAATGCCAAGTGAACACCAGAGGTGAACATTAAAGCCTGAGCCATGATGTAAACAGTTTCGTCTGTCATCTCGAATACAACCACCCACCAGTGTGATTCTTATAAAACCATGTAAGCCCTCTAAACAATCCACAACATACTTCTTCTTTTGCCATCCCTGCCTCAATCCCCATCTGTCTTCATTAAACATGTTAACAAGACTTTGATCTTCTTGCCAATCGGTGATTGTGTGTTAAAAGACAGAACACATGCTCCGCTCTGCTTACATGGGTAAGACTTTCACATCAAAGTGGGATACCTATAGCTCCACTCAGAGCAGGAAAGGAGTCAGTGTCCCTAATCAAGCCTTATTAGACTGAGATCTTCTTTCTCAGAGTGACCACATAAAAAAGGTGCCTTGGCCTGGCTCGTCCGTCCATCGCCGAGGGCCAGAGGAACAGGCCTGCGCTTGGTATTTAGACAGGTTGTAATTATTCTAGTTTAAGTTCTTCCAGACCCCACTGCTTCAAGTCCAAGGTCTGACCCATGCTCTCTGATCCAGAGCTGCTATGGGAAATGATTGTACAGGACTGAGGGAGATCTGCACATGTCTCAGCTCTGAGATCACCTCGCATGAGCACACTCAATATGCATATACATTTTAGGGGAAAACACACACAGAAATACATGCACACATATGTACACATTCTCATCCTCTACAGTGCCGCCAAATCCCCGTCACCAGCTGTAACATGGCTGGCTGCCTTTGAAGTGGCCAGCCGAGCTTACAGTACCTGGTGAAACTCACAAAACACACACACATAGGCACGGGCTAAGGTAAACACACATATCCCCTCACCAGCAAGGAATTCTAATTGTTCTCTCCCAGAGTGGATGTTGAGTCACGCTGCGTTTTAATACGACACTGAAGCAAAGTTGAAAGATCATTTTGCTCGCTGAGCTGTTATTTGGACTGTGGATTCGGGTGGATCAGTTTCAAAGTTTATTACTACACATGATGTTATTACTATAATTAATGGTCGTAACACATAATTATGTTGTGATCCCTCTCCAAAATCAATAAATACTTTTCCTGATTAATGGGAGTTGAGTAATGACAGAGGCAATCATTAAGATCCTCTTTGATCTGCGGCTTCAGCTTTGACTCTAAGTGGTCATCTCATCTGTAAAATTTGTGCATCGTAACACCTCAAACAACAGTTGAAACACTTCTCAGTCATGCTAAGCTTGTTAAGAATGCTCTTAATGATGAAACTGACCTAGCCATGGGTTAAGTGACTTCAAACATTCTGTTAAAAATGGATGACACTTTAAACACAGCTTCTCTTTTTGGCTGTTGCAGTGGCACGTTATAAGAAATACACTTAGAGGTTTCCAGACATGGCAGCTAGGTCTGTTACCCAGTAATCCTGATGTAGATTCCTGTTTTGTTAGCTTTAGTAGCTAATCCAGGGGGATAATTTCTGTCTTTTACTTTTGATTGGGCTCAAAGTGTTATTAAAGTATTTATGTGAAACTTACTGCATGTTTAGTTGTCTTTACAATGAAGGTGTTGAGTGTAAAGAAAGACCCATAATCTGAATGGATACAATTAGTTAAAGGAGCAATAAGGTTGAAAAATGACAGAATTGTCCTCACAGTCGGACCATCAAAGATTCAGCTCTGAATCTGCCTGACAAAGCTGTGAAACTCAAGCACAGATACAGCATACTAGCACCAGTAGAGATGAGATTTGAGATTTATATTCATAAGATTCAGCGCTCTGTTAACACAGGTTAAACACAACGCTTAACAACTGTCTCCAGAGCCACTCTCCTCCCGGCAAATGGTCAGTTAGCCAACACAGCAGCAGTGGCTAACATCCGATACTGAGCCTTTAAATGGTCCCAACAAACTCACACAGACACTGAAAGGGCTCTACTCTGTTGTCTAACCAGATAATAACCATCAGGTTGCATTGGCTGTGTGATCCTGTGCAGAGAAGACCTCTCATGGTACAGAGACAGAAAGAGACTGAGCAAATCAAAATGCTTCACGCAGCTCTACAATGAAATAAGAGTGGACGAATAGAGAATAAGAATATCCAAATCCTAAAACTGAAAACTGAATATCCTCAACAAACAAAAATCTAATAGTGGAATATTTGGGTCCAGCCCTGTTTTGCACACTGAATCAGTTCCTGTTGGATGACAAATAATTAATTAATTAAAGATATTAAAATGGCCCATGGGGAGTAGAATATAAGTCTTCATTGGTTAGCATTGCATCTAACCTTTAGGACATACAACTTAGTTTCTAATGGATTTTCATATGAACAAACATTTGGACAATTTTTCTCAAGATATATCTTGATAAAGATATACCTATAAGATATATAGACCTTAAAATAAGGGAGGAGAAAATACAAACTTATAGCAGTAAGAATTAATACAATTTAATAAACAAGGATTGTGATATTAGTAAAAAGTCAGAGAAGTGAAATTCTGACATATGTGTTTAAGATAAAAAAAAGAAAGAAGAAAAAAGCTCATTATTTTCCTTTGTTTTATCTTGCATGATTTTATCCTCAGGTGAGTTTGGCGAGGTGTGCAGTGGTCGCCTGAAGCTGCCCAGCAAGAAGGAGATCTGCGTGGCCATCAAGACTCTCAAAGGAGGATACACAGACAAGCAGAGGCGGGACTTTCTTGCTGAGGCGTCAATCATGGGACAGTTTGACCACCCCAACATCATCAGGCTGGAGGGGGTGGTAACACGCAGTAAGTACATCCATAACTCATGACCTAAAGATACATTGAAGGAAACTAACTTTGTGAAAACCAAATCACGATTGGCAATAATGCTCGAAAAATAAGGTTTAAGCACAAGAAATGAACAGAACAGAATCAAATAGAGTAGACTAGAAGAACACATGGCAGAAGACAATAGAGTAGGACAGAACAGGAATAGAGTACAGTGAAATAAGAAAGAGAACGAGAGAACCGAGATGTGATTTGCATTCACATTCCATCACAGATTCGGCATCTCCAGAGAGTCTTTTTACCGATTCCGGATTTGCAATTGTCTTTGACAAATGGCTCTAAAGTGGCTGACACTTCTGTGAAAGAGCGCAGGAGTTTTATTGAGTTGCCGTGGTGTAAATCTCTGCAGATCAATGTGCTCTGATCAAAGCCTGTGTCCAAAGCAGGCATAAATCCATAAATCCATATCTCTGACTCGCTACCCTCTGGGCCTCTTTATAAGACTATCATTAGCACACAGAAGGCCTCTTTAAAAAGGAATGACTGCAGAAAAAGGGAAATAATGAGTCTGAACTTTGTCGCTGAGAAATGGGCCCGGCCTCTATCTCTCCCTGCGGCACCAGGCTTGTTAAGTAGTTCTGCCAGTGTGGTTATTCTAAAGAGTGGAATAAAATACATGGAGAACTTCCCTTACTTTATTGTCCCCAATATGGGTTCCTCTTATTCTGTCTCTTTTTTTCTTCACTCCCCTTTCTTTGTGTCATCTCGATGTCTTAATTGCTCCCTGCCGCTTAAATTTCAGTCATTTTAATTCAGTGACTCGCTTGCACGGCTTCCTCTGATCAAAAACAGCATCACTGAGGAACCACAGTGTAATGTGCAAACAGCAAGAGGCGGGACATTCGAACCATATTGTCTGAATTAATTATTGGTCCTTTTTTCTGTTTCTCTTTGGCTTTCTATTTGCAGTTATAGGTTTTGCAGACACGTCAGGCAACTGCAAAAAAAAGAAAGAAAGAAAAATCCCAACGGATATATACGGCAAATTGATATTTCAGACACACTTGTGATTCATCATTTTGAGTCACCACTAACAGGAATAGAGCTGTAAAATTGTAATTCACACGTGTCCTCTCAGGGGTAACGATGAAACATTGCATTGTGGGACTTTTTTTGCACACACACACACACAAAAAAAAGATATATTTGCATTTATTTATTTTATTTTTTTAATCAGTTTAAACCACATATTTTTGAGAATTCTGGGAATCAGATTAAAACAGTGGGAAGATAATTAAATAAAAATGAAAAAATAGAAAATAGTGAGGATTTTTCGACATTGTCAAAATTATATTTTACATTATAAAATCATTATTTTATTTTTTTCATTTGGAAAATAAATGTACTTCACGTTAATAAATCCAAAACTTTTTTTGCAAAGGTCATAAAAAGTAAAAAATAACTGTGAAAACTGTAGTAAGGAAAACAAATTCACTCACAGATTCAGCTTTGTTCCTGCCGTCTTGTTATTCAGCCTTGAACACAGGACATCCTGAAAGTGAAAGCGCCTTTATGTGTGTGATCCCTCATCAGTGAGACTGTTTGTGTAATACATCTTACAGGGCACTACTCTTCCTATTAATGTCCAGCCACTGAAAAATGCTGCAATAACACAAGACTGGGGTTTCACTTGCTGCTTCTAGACTAATAGGGGAAGCTCAATATTCAGCACTGTGAGTGTGTGTGTGTGTGTGTGTGTGTGTGTGTGTGTGTGTGTGTGTACATGACATTTGGAGGGATACCCCTGAACACATGTGCGTGAGCTGGAGCAGCATAAGTGCAGGGCATAGTTTTAGGAGGTCCATTTGATATGCTCTCACACACAGACACACACACACACACACACACACACACACACACACACACACACACACACCTACACGCACACACACTGCTGTAGGGTGATTTATTAAGCTGCTCCTGTTAATTCTTAATAATCCTGAGACTTTCACACCCCATTTACCTTGCTGCTGCTTTTGGCTGATCCACAGGCTGCATATTTGTAGGCGCGCACCTCCACACACACACACACACACACACATGTATGTACTCTTTTCTCCCACACACACCCACACTTGCACGCACACACACTGAAACTTGTGTTCACAGAAGAAAGGGGCTTGGGGGCCTTTATCTTATGCTGCCAATGTTGAGAATAGAGAGAAAAAGGGAAGGGAAGAGGGCGGAGGACAGGAGGGAGGACCGGGTGTGTGTGTGGGTTCCCGTCTGAAACTATAAAAGCTGTCCGCTGGTAAACGGAGCGATCCATCACAGCCTTTTAGGGATAGGAGGGGGGTGTGGGTGGAGGGTGTTTATCTGTATCTGTGACTGTGTTTAAATGATGAGAGATTTTTTACTGTAAATGTAAGAAGGAGTGTTGCAAATGTATTGAGAAGCTGCTGGGAGAGTTGGGTTTTTTTTGAGCTGGCAAAAAATAGCTGAAAATGGCATGTCTTAGGGAAACACATATATTAGGGAAAAACTGAGAAGCTAAAATTTAGTTTTAATTAGGGTATGCACTGTATGTTTTACTATGAACACAAACTGGAAGTCAGAGTTTATTTGTTTAATTTCCACTCCTTAACTCAAGCACACCTTCTGTCTTGGCTCATTTACTTCGAGCTGCTTGTTGTGCCAAATAGGTCTTTTTTTTGTCAGCGTCTGATTGGCTCATAGGGACATTTTGAATTGCAATTTGCACCAGATCTGCTTTGATTAAATTAAAAACACTGAGTCAGCCAACTTCCATCATTACTAATGGAAAGTTTATTTTTTTTCCCAGTGAGAATAATAGATTTGTTTCTTTTAACAAGCGATTCCATCACCCTCTCCACTCAGCCTGTGTCATTCCTGAAAAAAAAGAAACAAAACGACGTCTCGCCAGATGTGGGGAGGGTTCGCATTAATACATGCAGGAGGGATGGGAGGAAAAGGGAAGGATGGGGTGATGGGGGAAGAGAGGCAGGGATGAGAGAGAGAAGGTAGGTCGGGAATGAAAGAGGGCAGGGGGAGGGGGGGTGGAGGGCACATTAATCAGAATAAAATGGAGAAGAAGCATACGGCTGGTGGTAAGTCAAGAACGAAACAGGGGGAACATCTGGGACACAAACAAGTCCTGACACCGACACAGTTCATTTAACAATAGCTGATTTAAGGGTTTCTTAAAGAGTTTTTTTTCTCCTTTTCCACCCTGTAATAAACCTGGTGTTGGCCGTAGTTTGATCAGGTACAGATGATAGCAGGCGGCGTGGATTTACAGCCAGATCTTCCACAGAAATAAAGATGTCACACTTTGACAGCTGACCTGCTGGGACCCTAAAACTATGACTAGGATGATTTTATTCGTGTGTGTGTGTGTGTGTGTGTGTGTGCAACAGAAAGAAAAGACGTCAACCTGGTCCCCATCAGGGCCCATGCACGTCTGCTTTAAGTCAAGTTACAGCCCTCCCTGTTGACTTCCTGTGACTTTACCAGTTTCAGAAAATAAATCTAAAATTAATATGTTGCTAAGCTACGAGTGTCTTTGTTGGTGGAGTGTTTGGCTGTTGGTTCTGTTGCACAGCAATCAGAAGTCATTGTTCTGACTTTAGGAGTGACACAACTAACATGATGTAACCAAGGATTGAAACCTCCCTCTCTGCCACAGGTAAACCCGTCATGATTGTCACAGAATACATGGAGAACGGATCCCTGGACAGTTTCTTGAGAGTAAGTATTAACACACGCACACACACACATTTGGGGACTAGAATGGATCATGACGCATCTAGTGGTGCACACCCTGAGGCAGTTGGGGGAACACATATCTGATGGCTAGCTGAGGATTAAGGAACACACACCAGGGAACACCTTAAAGTGGTGGGAAAGAAGATGTCTTGCACCTGTACAGCACACAGTCTACATCACACATAAGGTCACTCTGTCAAGCAGTCCAGTAAATCTTTGCTTTTGCATTGAAAAAAATGGTGTTTCTACAAAACTTGCATTCGTCAAACACTGAACAGTGACATTTGGTTCAAACGTGTTGAAAACTATTTAACCTAAAAGCACAGGAGTCTATGAAAGCATGGGCTGTGGGAATAAAATAGCTGTGCTGATTAGACTGGAAGTTTAACTGCTGTCTTCTGCTTTCAGAATGTGATGAGATTAAATCTTCTTTCTGGGTGCTGTCAAATAAGACATGAAAAAAATAGATAATGTAAGTTTCGCACACCAAAAATATATCTTTTTCAGTCTTTTTTTTTTTCATTAAAAAAGTTCTGTCAATTGCGTAAAATGCAATTTCCTCGAAACGTTTGCCTGTACGACAGATGACAGAGCGCAGTCCAGTTACAAGACCTGATAAAAATGTACTAGAATTATTAGTGTTATTATTATGAGTATAAAAAGAACCGATTTGGCCGTCTGGTAGATTTCCTGACTTGTTTAAAGAAACAAAGTTTAGACTGCTCAATAGATTCCAGTAAATACTGTACCTGAGAATGGCTGACTTTAGCAGTTCTGACTGTTTCAGCTAAACTTTCCATGCAAGGCTTATCAAATGACAAGGTTTTATGAACTGTATCCCCACTGCTTCTCTGGCCAGGAGTGAGTTTGATTCGTGCCATGCCTCTGTCTCTTAAAGAGGAATTGACCTGGCTCACTGAAATTAGCCAAAGCACAACAGCCAAGCCACAACACTGGCATGAAAGCATGTGTACCGATGCCTGTTTTAGCCCTTTTTCCACATGTGTCTGCACAGTATCCAGACACATGCAGGAGGAGTAGCTGTTGTTTCCTGACATTTTCCCAGAGGCCTGCACTTCATCATTGAGAATGTGTCATATACGCAAACACACACATGCAGATTCGTAGCTTGTGCATTGCAGCTTATGTCCGTGTTCTGAATCTGCGAAGCTTTGAAGTGACTGAGCCAGGTGGTCTGGCCACTAATTGCTCCAGACAAAATGGGTGGTGATTTGGGCCCGAAGAAAAACACACTCATCTTACACTCATCTCGCAAATGACGTGGTCTTTGACAAACGCGGAGAGACCCATGCATGTGAGGAGCAAGTGGACACAGGCAGACCTTTCACTCACATGCTAAATGGAGCCAAGTGCAAACCCTGAGCAAAAACCATAGAGAGAGAAGACAGACAGACAGATACATATACAGTGACAAATGCTCTGTTGCTCAACGAGTCTACTTTCTAAAGGTATTTCATCATCTTAAGCTCCCATAATGCCTCTTTGTTTATGTGTCTTTCCTATACAGATTTATAGACTAACTCATAAACACTCTCCAGTGTAAACTAGTGTAAACACTCCTGCTTGCCAATGCAAACAAAATAAAAAGTTTTGTGTTTATATTCTGTCCAGTTTGTGTTTGAATGCTGCATCTAACCACTTTGAGAGCATTTAGCTGAGCCAAAACAAAATCAATTTGAAATATTAAGGATTTGCCTTAAATGGCTGTCTGAGGAACAATGGACACATGCTTCTGAATACCATTGTGCCCTTATTTTGTTTCTTAGGATTTAACTTTTTTGATGCATGTATCATGTGTAGTAATTTAAGCATTTTAAGCACTCAGTGTTCCCCCTAAATTAAATATACTTGTTGGAGAAGAGTAGTCCTCAAATACAGTATTTAGACTCTTGGATGTATTCATACAGACTTGTGAAGAATCCAAACAAAATGTCGCTGAAATCAGGTCAGTAAAGTCAAGATAAATGGCTCTCATTGGTTATTATATAATGAATATGTAGTGGATAAAAGTAACTGGGCTGATTGAAAAAAGAAAGAGCATTTCTACTATATATTGGTGTGATCCAAATTTCCATACATTACTGTGCCTCTGGCTTTGGTATTTCACAGTTAGGCTGAAGATGAGGTACAGAATGTCAAAGGTGGTTTTTAAAGGTTAATGAAAATGCTGTGGATACTAATGTAGAAAGGTTTCATTTCATGCAAATAGTCAGAAAGGTCAGACTCCCTCTGTGTTCTATATCATGTACATTAAAAGTTTAGCATTAACAGTGTACGTCTGGTTCTTTCTTTCTTTCTTTCTTTCTTTCTTTCTTTCTTTCATTCATTTAGAAGCACGATGCCCAGTTTACAGGCATCCAGTTGGTCGGCATGCTGCGTGGCATCGCCTCGGGCATGAAGTACCTGTCAGACATGGGCTACGTTCACCGAGACCTGGCAGCTCGAAACATCCTGGTCAACAGCAACCTTGTGTGTAAAGTGTCAGACTTTGGCTTGTCCCGAGTCCTGGAGGACGACCCGGAGGCTGCTTACACCACCAGGGTGAGCTGGAACACAAACACGATCTCAGGACATAAATGACAGCATGAACAAATAGGTTGGGCGCTGTACTGTCAGGGCCATTTTTACCAGTAATGAATTACTTAAAATGCAACGTTACATAAAACTCCCTGAATCATACATGGTGCTCAATAAGTTAGCCGTAAAACTACCTACAACATACCATTCTCCCTTCTTAGATAATCTCAGCAAACACACACACACACACTCTTCCATTCTTTTACTATGGCAAGGGAGAGGAACACATAAATAAAGCTGAGTTGTGATAAGATATAAATCCACAGAGCTTTGCCTCCCTGGATCACAGCACAGAAATGGCAAAACATACACCAATTGGGGAGGTCATGGAGAGGAGCACTCCAAGCACCACGTGCCCTGAAGGGAACCATTACATCGATAAGAAGTTCTGTGTGTGTGTGTGTGTGTGTGTGTGTGTGTGTGTGTGTAGTCCAGTGTTTTGTTGACCCATCCACCGCGCCAACATTCACACCAATCCTTTATTTTTATCCCAAAAGCCAAAAGTTCCTTTTTGTTTTTGCTGCATTCAATGGCAACATAGCTCACTTTTAGAGTTTTTTGTTGTAATTGAAAAATGCAATGTGCCAAGGAGACAGTTTGAGACATGGGAAATCCTATTTACTCGTCCCTTGTCTCCTGCTACATTTATTGCTTCAACCCAGGTGATGCTCAGATCTTATTTACTTTGCAACTTGACCTCAACTCTTACAACTTTTTTTAGATGATGACACTATAAAGCCTGAACAGCAATGACAGCTTGGGTTGCAATTGATTTGATTTAAGGAAAACACGAATGGAGTTTCCACAACAACTTTGCCGAACTGTCAAGAAATCACTTTGTGTCAGAAGGTAGCTCAGGGTGTTTTTTGCAACACCCTTAAAGGGGAACACCAAGAATTCCAATATGTTATTTCCATGGCCTAGGAAAGTTTGATCAATATTTGTGACCATGAGCTACTTTCTCTCAAAGCCAGAAACCAATGACGTAAATTTCTGATGTTATAGGGTATGAAGTCTGGAGCTGCTCCATAGACAATGAATGAAGTAGTGTTCTCAGTTCTGAAACAGGAAATGCACCCGTATACTCAAAACATTTATCTGGGTACTCTCAGGGTCATCTAGAATATCTCTCCCAATGCATTGTCTATGGATCAGCTCCGGACTTTATACTCTATGACATCAAAAAGTTGAGTTGTAGCACTGTAGTTTTTGGATTCATTAGATAGTTGTTCGTGTTTACTGATATTTTTGGACTGTCTTAGACCATAGGAGTAATATGATTAATTGTGAAATTGGTTGTAGCTGCCCTTGAAGCATAATGCTAAGGAAAGGATAGAATGACATCTGAAGAGAAACCGAAACAACAAAAACCTCAGCGCTGGGTGAGACAATTCAGTTTCAGAGAAATAAGGGTCACCATCTTGGAGATAAAAAAGATGACAGATCAACCTATTTGCAGCCCTCTTTGTCCTTGTTTCACTCCTTGAAGCACATGCCACAAAATGAAACATTATCAGCAGGCACGCCACACTTTCTTGTGTTTCATTCATCTGTTCTTTCTGCAGCATGTGAGTGTATATGTGTGTGGTCATTTTCATCATAGGAACCTGTGGTCTAGACCATGCGTGCAGCCCCTTTAAACACAGTATAATTTACTGGCTGAGAATTGCTTGTCAAATAAACAGTCAGTGTGCCGTTTGCCTTTCCCCCAGAAATACATAATCTAAAATAATAGGACAGAATAATAAACTCTCCAATGCTGCAGTGACTGACAATGCTCCACACATGCAAGCAGGTTTCCATCCAGCCTGCACTGGAACTTTCTTTCTTTCCCTTTTTGTTTTGTCACTTCTCTAGCATCTACTGTTAAGGCAAAATCTATGTGTGTTCCTGTGCATGTAAGTCCAGTGAGTGTGTGTAGGGTTCACACATCTTGGACTCTTGGGGGAGCAGGTGGTTGTTTTTGTGTTGGCACCATGTGTTTCTGTGTGCACCTGTGTTTATTTGTGCGACCATGTGTGTGATTGTGTGTTTTTTGGGCTCTTATACCTTTCCACAGTGTTTCTTTATGGATAATGCAGTAAAAGAGTGTGTGTTTGAGAGGGTAGTGCAAGAGGGTGTGTATGTGTCTTTGACTGCACAGCACCAGGCAGGAGCTGAGCAACTTGGCTGATGTCTCTGTTAGCTTTGGCTGCCACCGGCCTCCTTTCCTCCTCTCCTCAGCTCCATTTTCTTCATTTGTCCTGCTTCTCAGCTAGAATGACAAATGCAGCAGACAGTACAGTGAGAGGTCATGCAGGAAACTTTGGATTCGTTTGATTAATATGTTGTTTTTTTTTTTCTTTTTTAAGGTTGATACTTTTTTGATTAAAACTGGATAGCACACTTTTTTTTTGCAATACTATTCAATGTCACTTTATATGACTAATTTCAAATTCCACATTTTGGAAGTGTGGAAGCACCTTCACTCCAGGGCCTTCACACCAAATAATAATAATAATATTTCAGATATCTGTTACAGTTGTGGATGTGAGGTTTAGATCACCATGCTCAGTCCAAACCACTGAGCCAGTTGGGGTTAAAGTTTTTCAAAACAGCTCATAAAATTTCCTGAATGTTTCATGACATGTACTGTAGGCCTTTACATGAGACATAAACCTATTACACCCAATATTACATATACAGATGTAACATTTATATTCATACCATAAAACCTGACAATAACCACATTGCTGTCACCCAATGTCCCAAAGATACATTTCTGCTTTCGGGTTATTTTTCTGTGGTCTTTTATGAATTTTGTGCACAAAAGTTAATTGGAAAATATCCATCCGGACAGCGAAAGTACATGGTAATATCAGGTTGTGAGACTGTCACTGACTAACTGAAAAATCTCTCTCCTACTGTCTGTCTCTCAGGGAGGTAAGATCCCCATCCGGTGGACCGCTCCCGAGGCTATTGCCTACAGGAAGTTTACATCAGCCAGTGATGCTTGGAGTTATGGCATTGTACTCTGGGAAGTGATGTCATATGGGGAACGGCCATACTGGGAGATGTCCAATCAGGATGTGAGTACTGCAGTGTTGCCAAGCTAACTTCCTTTAGCAAGGGCGTCTGTGTGGCGCAACCACCACTGTAGCATTTCTGCCAGCTCCCACTGGTTTATATGACATGTTTAGTTTATGTTCAAGATCGTGTGAGGTTTATGGCACTTTTAGAGCAACTTTTAAACAATGTTTTTGCTAGGTTTTTGTCCTTTGGAATGCACCCGGGGTTTATGTGTTCAAACATCAACCAGAGTTCACTGATTTCTTTCTTTCGTCATATTTATTTTCATTTGTCATTCAGGCTTCGTTTTTCTTCTTTTCCAAATGAAGCAGTCTCACCACATGATGTACAAGGGTTGGTATCAATGTAGAAAAATAAAAGACATGAAAAACAACTTTAATTTACTGTCACTCAGTGGTCAGAAAACGGTGGCTAGAAGCTTAGGTGAAATCCCCAGCCACAATCCACTGATTTGTCTATCACATTGCAACAACAGTTACCACAACTCAGATAGTTTGAATCTATTTCTACTCCCCCATATTTCATCATATCTGTGCATAATTCATTAAAATACAAGTTGATCTCAAAATCATCATTTCAGCTCTAGCAAGCCTTTATGAGGGAAACAAAGTAATGTAGTGCAACGAGTACAGCCGGACACTTTAGATCATCTTAGATATAGTCTTGAAGTTGAAGTTGTCTTTTCTTCCCCACATTTAGGTAATAAAGGCTGTAGATGAAGGATATCGCCTCCCCCCACCCATGGATTGCCCGGCTACCCTCTACCAGCTGATGTTGGACTGCTGGCAGAAAGAGAGGAACAACCGCCCTAAGTTTGAACAGATTGTCAGCATCCTGGATAAACTCATCCGTAACCCCGGTAGCCTCAAAATCACGGCCAACACCACTTCCAGGTATCAGACAGATGTTTCACCATTCATTTGTTTTCATTTTTGGTGTTTGTTGAAAGCAGCATGCACAAAGACACACACATTGTCTGCAGGTGGAGGCGCTTTGAATCACAAAATTCTAAAAATAAGCAGGTAAAGCTGGAAATCTGGCTGTTGTCTTCTTAGCTGCTTTTTGCTCCTGCTTTGGTTTCCATTCACTTGACTAGACGACACCTGTCTCTAGGCAGTCCAACATTGCAAGTAGTTCCCATTACCTTCCATGCACAGCATTATGGGTTATTGCTGGTCAAAGCACTTCCTGCTCTGGGATCCCAAAGCCTTGGGACAGCAATGACAGTTGTAGTTTCATTTTCTATGGATGAAGCACAATTCACCATGATTAATGCACTGGGAAACAAAAAGACCAAGGGATGTGGTTGTTAAGAAAGACATTTTTGTATTAGATTTCAATTTCTGTCTCCCCTGGTGCACTTCTGTTTATATTTGGAGCTAAGCAGTACATGAGCTGGACATAAACACTGCCTTCCTGCTTCCTGTGTTTGCAAGGTTTTGCATGAAACTTAGCTTGACTCATCACACATTACTATGACATATCGTTCATCTTTCCCTTTGCCACGCAGTCTAATGTCATACTCCTCTCTACCTTTCCCTTGCTCTTATGTGAAAATTTCCCCTCATTTTTACCCTCACTTATGCTTTGCTCCTTTGTTGGGACCACCATTCTCTCCCAGGGGGCCGTGGGGAACCCGGGCAGCCCATGTACAGTTGTCAGTTCTGAGCAGGGAGGGGGACAGGCGCTGGGTCTGCGGCAGACAGCCGCAGTATTATGGAGACGTCAAAGCTCATAACATTGACTAATGATTTCTTAAGAAAGTGAAAATAGGTCCCTTGGAGTTTGCATGTAATTTCCCTGATTGGCTTTTAACACCGGGCGAGCACAGGCTGGCCGACAGAGTCGGCTGTGGTGATTTATGAGAACTGTGCCTGTATGTGTGTATCTGAGTGTGTGTGTGTGTGTGGTAGTGGCAGTTACACAGCGGGAGCAGCTGCACTCAGCTCCTCACACCTCGTTTGTCTCAGGGCTGTCCTGGCTGGCTAATGGAGCACCCCCTCCTTCTCAAAGCCTACACCAAAGCCTGGGACCGGAGCGGAGCATCTGGAGGCTTCAGGGGTGGGACCTGGTCAGAGTTTACTGTCCCTGCATGTGGATGGAGAGAAACTGGGGTCAGTGGGCCAAAGTTGGCTGTCAGAGACTAATTATGGGCCAACAGAAGCTAAGTCAGGGTTAGAGGCCACTGTCTATCTGATTGGCTTTACAGGGTGTCGAAAATGTCTGAAATCAAAGGCTATCTGGTTTTCAAACTGAAATGTGTTTTCTCTGTGTTCTGTGAAACCTGACAATGGTTGTTACCAAAGCACTATAATGCAACTAGTACTCCTTCTAAAAACATGTCAATCAATGCAGTGGTAAGTAATGCACTGATTCAGATTTACTTGGTCTGGGCTTTTTACATAATAAGCTTTTTCCCCAAGCCGTACAAAGCAAAATGAATAATGACAAGCCTCTGTGAACCTGTAACAACAAATCAAATCTATTGCATTACTCCTCTCTGTAATTCATTTTCAAACAAACTCTGTCTGGAGAATAGGGATCTTTGCTTCATTTTCAGTAGTTTGGGCTGGGCTGGAAATGGGGTTGGAATTGAAACAAGAGTGAACCCGTTCCCTGGCAAAGGGTTCGGGAGAAAGTATCTGGAACTGGGGCTGGAGGCCATGGCTGCAGATGGAACTGAGCTGGTGTGGATCTTGGCTTGTAGGGTGAGGTTGGGGCAGGGAATGGAAACAAAAGAACAGTTTCAATTGGTGGAAGGAAACCAGTTTGGGTACTAAAGAAAGCAGGTATTGGGATAATGATATATATCAAAATGGCAAAATGTATAAATAGGAGGAAATACAAAATTGGGTTGGAGACACAAGATTGGTACTGAGCCTTGCAGATTCAGTGCACTGAAAACCAGTACCGTTAAATGACATTAACATTTATTATGTTAAAAATGTGTAAGCTAATTTAAAAACTAAAACTCTTCACTGAAATGCGGCTAGTAATTCAGATTAAGAGTTCAGAGTAGGAGCCATGCATGCTTGACTGGAATCAAATCAAAATGTCACACTTGAATCAATTTAGGTTAATAGCTTCCCTCAGACCACCCGAGTTTGATTGTATTGAAACTACATCATATCCATCACATCCAACAGAGGCAGATGATACATAATGGCCACATATGAGAATTTTAATTCGAAGGCCTAATATTGGCCTGAAATCGGTCTAACCCCTCCCAGAGACACCCTGGGAATTGTCCCAGTAACACAGTGAGAGGTAAAATTCCTCCCACTCTGTCCTGCCCACATGTATCTGTTCAAGCTCTTCTCCTCATCCACCTCGCTCCTCCCTTGAGAGCTCTAAAAACGAGAGACTACACAGCCCTGGTTATTTAGAGGTCAAAAGAATGAAAGATAGAACAGAAAAGAGGAAGGGAAATGAAAACATGAAGGGGGGTAGAATTTATTCTCTCTCCGGTGTATTTATACTTCCTCCTGTTCGAGCGGGTGTTTTCTGCGTTCCTATAAGGTGTTAAGACCAGGAGGGGTTTTAAACACCCCCCCAACGTCAGACAGATGCTTTCTTTTCCCTTCATTTTCCCCTTCATAGCATCCCTCTGTTTCCCTGTTTCCTCTCCAATCATCTTGTCTCTTGAGCTGCTGTGAGATGTTGCTGAAAGTGTAACAACAAAGGAAACAAAGAAAATGATAAGGGAGGGGAAACAAGGTCATTTGCAGTTTATCTCTCGGAGGAGACAGGAGAGGGGGAAAGAAGCTGAGGATGAAGGCGAGGATGAGATCAGAGGAGGAAAGGAAGAAAAGTGGTACAGGAAAGGAGAGGAGGGGATCAATAATCCTACAAAAACGATGAACATTTTTATCCTGACAGCCCAGAAAGTTGTAATCTATGACGTTTTGGATCTAACTATATTTTTGACCTAACTTTTTTTTTCAGCAAATGTATAATGGAAAAAAAGTAATTCATAACCATCACAATCATTTCTTGCTATATATATAGCCTATACACAGCATTTTTGGCTTTCTTTTTCTTTAAAATAGAAAAAAAATCTGCTGTCTACTGAGATTCACAGACTCACACACTTCCTTCTTTTCCCCCCATGCAAACCACCCCCACTTTCTAACCCCCAATTCCCTCCTTTTCCTACAAACCAGTCTCTCCAGGGGGTCCTGGGGGGCCCTCTGCATTTTGACAGGCCTCTGATCTGGCAGGAAAAGACTCAATCATTGTAACAACACCCACTCCACTGCCTCAAATGCATCCTTTTTTTTCCTGTCTCTGCTGGAGTTGTCATCTCGCTTTTCTTCTCTCTACATACAGCTTATTATGGGGTTTTTGTCTATGTTGTTTGATGGCAGCTTGATGATTTTCTATTGTAACATTCTTTTGATTGTATTTTGCTTCTTTAAATTAAAATATATTGCATCAGTATGCATGGTACAGAAAACATGTCTAGTTTGCCAGTATAATTAGGTACCTCTCATCTCCAACAGGCAGGGAAAACTACAGACAAAGTAGTTACCCATGTCAGAATAATGACAACTAAACTAAAGAACTTTTTTATTTATCATTTTTAAAATTGAATTATTCATTTTTAAACCATGCTTTAATGTAAGAGCACACATACATGTAAAGTTTAACAAATAAGAGTATGTGTGGCTATACAAATATCTACCTTAATATTATACGTCTTATTCTGAGACAAGATAATTATCAAGTAAAAATTGGAAAATGGCAAAATTGTGTATTGTAGTAGACACAATGTATCCTCCACCACTCTGAAGCAAAGCACACTTTTTATTTGAGATAAAATATCTAAAAATGATACATTTGTTCCCAAGAGAGTTGAGGAAGCACATGGTTGTGCTATTTAATTTTATAATTTTACATACATTCCTTAGAGTTCCAATGCCTCTTTCACAAAAAAAAGACCCAAACAGTATTGAAACAATCTAACTAAAAGAAAATGTCTCGATTGTATTTACCTGCTGTATAGTTTTACGCCCTCCTAATTCCCAAAAGGTAGCCTAACCTTGAGTAATATTTCCTACATTCTCACACACAGCAGCTCCAAGCCTCCCTGCCAATCCAAATCAGTCAGGCGGAGGCCGACTTCCTGGTATTCTAATGAGTTTATTTACAAGGCTATGAATAGTATTCCCTGTGGGAGAACTACCTTTTTCTGTCCTGTCCTGTCCTGCCTTGTTTGCAAGAATCTATTCCCTTGTGTGCATGTGTGTGTGCACATATGTGTGTGTGTGTTTGCCTGTCTTGACGCAGGTGCCTTTGTCTAGTCTGCAAGACAGGTGCAGCATGTCCTTATAAAAAACAGAGTGTCTTTGCAACCCAGTTTTAAATGCCACTCACCAAATCCGCAAAAAACACTCAACATGCTTTAACTGATCCCTTATTTGGCTACTGATCGTTATGTTTTGAGTCCCAGATTGACCTTATGTGGTTTGACCTGGTTTCCCATGTCTTGCCTTGATGTGATTGGGTTTCACAGCACCAAAGTGAACCCCCTTTGTATAAGACACAGCATCAGACTGACATCAGAGATTGGACGCTGATAGAGAAAATAGCTTTCTTTGTCATCTTAAGCGTCCCCTACACTCTCTTCCATTTCACTCTGTATGTCTTTCCACCTCTAGTCCTTCCTCTTCCCCCGTCCTCGGCAACCATCAATCAGAGTGAGTCAGAACAGCGCCTGCAGCCTTTCCTTCACCCTCTACTGTTGACTGAGCACTCTAAAGCCCAATGCGGTGCATTTAATTTGATTTGATCCAATTGAAACCATCAAGTCTAATCAAATCTAATGTTGCATTTTGCAGCATGGTACATGTAGTGCAGGAAACGGTAATGACATTAGACAGAAACTGATGCCGCTTTTGTTAGTAATCTTGTTCTTGAATATGTTAAATACATTATGGAAATATTTTGTGTGACAGTTTGATTTCCCCCCTGTATTCAAAGCCCAAAGGCACTGTGCAGGTTTACTGTATGCAACAGACACATATGGCCCGTCTCTCTGTCTGTGTGTGTGTGTGTGTGTGTGTGTGTGTGTGCGTGTGTGCGTGTGTGTTTGTGTGTGTGTGTGTGTGTGTGTGTGTGTGTGTCTATGGTTCCCTGATGAGTGCCGTTCAATCAGATCAAGAGGTCTGGGTTACATTTAGTTCTGTGAAGGTATGCAAGCACAGGATGTGTACAATAGCATATTTGTTGAAATATATACAGATAATTACATTTTCTACACATATATAATGGTATATAATAGATTTTTTCTTAAAGAATTAATTTGATTCACTTCCATTACAGTCACCATTGCGTTCACCGCCAAATTAGATTTCATCTCACTTGTCAATAAATGTATAACTTCCCATCAACAGACCATGTACAAGTATGTACAGCCATGCACTCTATAGTCAACATGTTTTGCCATTGAAGTAACAACATATAACATCAGTGAGGGTAGTGGTAAAACATTTAGTGTATTTCCTGGTGACATCTACATGATTAAAATGTACAAAGTCAGTCAAGTAAAGTCTTATGTGCAGGAGTATTGCGATGGAATTTGAAAATGATCAGTGCAACACTGGGGCCCATCATGACATAGCTACTTAGTGTTATCAGTGCACAAATGACAGCAACTAGATGATGAAAGATCTGTTCACACTGCTGGCTAGTTACAGGAGTAGCAATAGTAGATAGCGGCAGCAATAACCAACAGCATTGATGGTTTGAACAAAATAGCATGAGTAAAAACTGGAGGATGGGTCCACTGGCCAGTGAACATAAAAAAGTCTGCTAGGAATTTTGCACAACACTCACACATGACATACTCCTCTGTCTGCAACATTCATTGAAGCAGTCTATTGCTGCCAATGACTTTGCTACACTGCTCATTATCAACATGTGCAACACTGCTCCAAACATTGCTGCTTCTTATGATGCTGCTCACGTAGTATCTCATGAACCCTGCCCCTCAAAGTGTCCACCTGTAGGCTTTGCGTTCCCTGGGGGAAAGTTTCTTCTTCTCCCCATTCCATTCTGTGCTGATTCATTGTGGGGAGTGACAAGATCAGAGTTTATAAGCCAAATGCCAACTCTGTAAATACTTAGTATTCACATCATAATGACGCTAATGCCTTTGTGTTTCTGAAATGACTCTAAAAACTCTGCTTTATTTATCTGAATATATTACAGGCCATTACTCAAGGGGATTTGTTTATTCACTGTCCATCAGTGTGTGTTCTTATATTACTCCTTGTCCTGTGTGCCCTCAGGCCAGCCAACTTGTTGTTGGACAGGAGCAGTTCAGAGGTTCCCGCGATGGGGACGCTGGGTGACTGGATGGATGGAATGAGGACCTTGCCCTGCAAAGAGGCCTTCTCTGGGGTCAGCTACAGCTCCTGTGACACCCTGGCCAAGACCTCCACCGAGTAAGACAACCACACACACAGACACACACACTAAGCTACTCTGCCCATTCATGTCAGCAGTGTTTACAGGGCCCCAGTACCCGTGGCAAGGCCCAGGAATTTGAAGAGACTCTTGGTGAAGAACACACACACACACACACACACACACACAAATACTCTTGTTCTCACTAAGTAAAGAAAGCTATAGAGCCCTTACTAAAGGTGTCCAGATGACTCATGGTAATTCATAATGACAGGCCTTTAGCCACACTCTCGTATGACAGTATGACCACAGAGGGAGAAGCTGAGAGCATTAGAAGAATGAGAGATAAGTAGAGAAACAGAAAAAAGAAGAGAGAAAGAGAGGAGAGGAGTTGTGAGTTCCATAAGGGAGAGAGGATAAAAGAGAAACTATTGAGGGAGGGAATGAGAGGGGAGATTTGACAAGATAAAAGGGCAGAGAGAGGGGCCTGTGAAAGAGCAAATAAAGGCATAGCTGTCAAATAGGTATGCATGGCACTCTCTATACTGTGAAGCATTAAAATGCAGAGCAAAGATCAAGCAAAGGTTGTCAGAAAACTATTTTGACGCCAAATCCAGAGAAATTATATGTGGAGAGCACACACTGCAGGACCTACAGTATGATGACCTGTGTCACAATGACCATATAACAAAGCCTGGTCAGTCATTGTTTCGTCAGTTCAGATATGGGGTCATACCTTACAAAATATAAACGAAATCCATAGAATTTCTTAGCAGCTGCACAGCATATGCAAATGTAATCCAGTAGTAGTATTAGGAACTTTTGGTGGGATATGACATTAGAGTCAGGGTATTTGTCACAGCTCAGGGTTTAGTAAATCAATGTCCCTGGATAAAAGAGAGTTAGTACCAGACAGAGATTAGAGGTTTGACTCTGCTGACAGGATCCTCGGGCTGACAAAAGGTTCTGAGATAGTGGATCAGGTTCTGGCAAGAGTCCTGTGCTGGCAGACTGAAAGGAATTATGAATCCCGAGCACAGTGATAATAGACTAGGAGATTATACTGATGAACAAGCCACCTTTGGACTTGTGGGTCAGAGTGCAGCTACTTGGGAAAATTAAGGACAGCTACTACTACTTTTATATCTCTTTGTTGCTTTCTTTTTTTGTCAAAGACAGAGTGCAGACTTTTTCTGGCACTTTTTTCCCCAGACTTTCTCTCTTTCTCCCTCGCTCTGTCGACCTGCTGCTGGTTTAATTGATGTGGAATGTGACCGGGTAAATAATTGGACATTTCTAATCATTGTGATCAAAGCAGCCACTCACTGTGGTGATGGCAGCAGCAGGGGACGCAAGGGCAGCTGGGGAGCGGTGGTCAGTGCTGCAGCGAGCTGTAACTCCTGTCAATAACTGACCAAACCAGATAGTCATTAACAGTGCTGGGCTTAAAGGTGAAGTGTGTAGGATTTAGTGGCATCTAGTGGTGAGGCTGCAGATTGCAACCAACTGAAATTTCTCCAGTTTGCCAGGCGTGGAGGAGAACTACAGTGGCTGATGCAAAAAAACACAGAAACACGAATGGCCCTATCTAGAGCCAGTGTTTGGTTTGTCTGCTCTGGGCTACTGTAGAACAACATGGAGGAGGAAAGACTCCGTATGTACATATAAACAGCTCATTCTATAGTAAGGCAAACTCAATGATCCTTATTTTCAGGCGACTGTAAACGACTGAAGACATAGTAATTAATATTATTTACCTTTTCTGACAATCGATGCCCCTGAATCCTGCACACCAGACTTTTAATACATTAGAAAGAAGCAGCATATAATGTGTGCCCTTTTGAATAATGATGAATTGTAGAGTTGATGTCACAAGTTAGCCAGTAGGGACCATTTAATCTACTATGAATAGAACAAGACTTTAAAACTTCCCACATTGGCAGCTTTGAATTGCAAAGTATTGAAACTTCAATATTTTAAAACTACATTCCGTACAAATATAATAAGGCTCCTATTAGGAAAGTGTGAAGTGATAAAGAAGAGACACCAAATGAATAAGAGGCCAGATGCAGCTTTTCTTTGAAGAGAGACCTTTTTAGGGTGATAATAATGAGACTTTTTGATATAGATTTTCTCTCTCATTCTTTCTCATCTTATTTTTCTCAGTTGCAGCTCTATTTATTTCGCTGTTTCTCTTTTTCTCAAGGGCACTACACAAAAGATTTATTTTTTCTATTGACACTTTTCATGCTATTTATATGAATGAATATGTTCAATCAATTAAAAGTTGTCTCCAGTCAGCATGTTACAAAACAGAAAAGCTTACACTGCAGACTGGGTGGAAGTTCATGTCGGGTATTGGTGAAATATATCCCAGATAAACTGCACTACAGTAACCTCCCACTAAAGAAATCATATCGGTATGTGTTGCTTTTTTCCGTTGCTAGATGCTAAATTGGATCACTGCAGTATTAATCCACTGAAGGCTGCAGCTAAGGCACTCAAGGCTAGCTCAGCTACAAGGCTAGCAGCCTTGGCTGAGGCTGTGCATTGCTCAATATAGATTGCTCTATTGATTTGTACAGTCTTAATCTAGTCCTTGATATTCAGCACAAGGCTTGGCAATGTTCTGACCTCTGAGGAACAGTAATCATACTTGGCTGCAGTGTGCTGACTCATCTGCTGGAGTAATTGAAGTCTTTTTTTTTCAAGATGGGATGAAATGGATTGACTAGGAAATACCGCATCATTTGGACTATTTTCTTCATCTAGACAGAGTGCATGCAAAGTTCATTTCAGGTATTTGATTGGGGAAGTGATGAACTTGACCTGAATTGCAACAAAAAGGAAAGCAACTTGAAGCGGTATAACGCTGACATTTTCTTGCACAGCGGTCTGTGCACAGGCTCTGCACTCCTGCCAACCAGGACAAACCCATCAACCCTGTCTGGTACCCAAACTTTACCCAGCATCCGCTTTCTTTCAGAAACTCAAAACATGACATAACAAATTAGACACTGACTTGTGTCCATGTGTATTTATTAAGTGATACAGTTTTAAACAGTGTTGTCTGTTCAGAGAAAACACCAAAATTCACATTTAATTACATTGAAGGAAGACATCCCCAGCAGGAGCTTTACTCTGGAATGATGGAAAGTGCTGAGTTAACGCTGACCCGCTGTAGAAAGGAACTTTCAACTGTTAATAATTTCATGTAATGGTGTGTGCGTGTGTTAGTGTGTGTGTGTGTTTCTCAAAGTATGATTTATAACTGTACCAAATGTTAATCTATTCTCATTTCATCACTGTTTGTTCTTGAGATGATCCATGTGGCTGATCACGATGTGGAAAACATTCATTTACACTTATTATGAGGAGAGTATGCTGGCTCAGAAATGCAAAGCTTTGGTGATGCAAAGAGAAGATGACAACACAACTGCCTTGACTCTAAAAAGAACAGCATTACAGCACAACAGAGATGAATTATAGTGTTTCAAATATATACACAGTGTCCAAGGCATCAAAACTTGTCTACTTGTGGTTCAACTGTCCGCAGTAACTTTCATTGGGAACATTTCTAGAAATCCAGTGACATACTTGGAAACCAGAACAGTGCATTGCATAGCTTTTGCTAAGTTGAAGAACAACTTTACGACACATGAATTTAAGTTTGTCTCTCCTAAAAACTGTTCTGTTGTGAGTTTATGCCTTTATGTGTCTTATTTTGTTTCAAATGCTGTTGCTCTTTTGGACAGCCTAAGGGTAGAATGTCGGGTAGTGACCAATAAATACAGGATTTTCTGTATATTTAGAGCAATGCCGGACCTAGCACATTTAGCTAACAGACAATATATTTTTGGCTTCCAGCTTCTGGGTGGTGCCCTAGGCGGCTACCTATGTTGCCTTTAGGAAGGTCTGCCACTGATTTCGAGATCATAACATGTTCGCCACCATGTTCCCGAAACATGGGAGTTACTGTCAATGGTTTTTCAAGCTCAGAGTATCTCCTTTTCTTGACTGTAACGTTGATGTTTGATTTACACTGCATATCTAAAGCCACATTGTTAAGCTTGATTCACTGTTGACATCCAGTTTAAAATGTTAATGTTGCTGGGCCTGGCTGTTTCTCAGTAGAGTGGTTCTGACGGAGGTCCACGTCACACCGGCCACTTGCCCAGAATGGGAGCCATCCATGGGAATCACCACTCTCTAACGCCCAGCTCCTCTCCGCCTCCTCAGGCTCTGGATGGTGGGTGGAGGATAACGGACCAGGCCACCGCCTGGGAGCAGTAACCTGCCTCCAGAATCACTGATGGGCTTCCACTCGTCTGACTTTTAAAGGGATAGTTCATTGATTTTCAGTGAAAACTCAATAGCTGTGTTTCTATCCAACTATAAGCTGCAATGGCAAAGATACTGCATTATGAGTGTATGGATGGAAACATAGCTACTGTCTCACTATAGCATACTGGTGCTGTTTTTACTGCACCCAAAGGCAAAAACCCCATTCAGTTTTCTTTATTTTAAACTCTATGAAAATACAAAATAGATAGTACTGCTTACTTTTACATGAACTATCCCTTTACATTGCAGCACAGAGTGAAGCAATATTGTGATTTCCTTCACTTTCAGTGTCTGGCTGGCCGAGATGTTCCTTAATGCTGTTTTGGCTGCTTTGGAGAACTAAAGTCTCTGCTTGCATCTGAATAATACGCACCTTATTGAAACTATTTTCGAATAATATCTAACGTCTTAATGGGCAAAAGTGTTTGTTGTAGCAATGCCACCACTCAGGCTGCAACTTTTCTGCTTCTACTAATATAATAACAATGTTGTTACTCCTAGATGAGCACAAGAGATGAGCCTTAACATGAACTGTTACTTCCTGTGTTATCAACAATGCTCTGTGTGCAGATCTCTGTGTATATGATGTAGTTTAAGGTTTTTACTGTATGTTTCAAAACGGTTTTGACTCTTTCATTGAACTAACTACTGTGTGTATTTGATGTGTATGATGCATAACACATGTAAAACTGACACTGTGATTCTAATTTAGTTAAAATATTCTTCTCATACAAATGTTTTCCTACACTTGAATGCATGTAACTAATCTTTAAAGAGCTTCTGAGAGTAAGTTAACTGGTGTATCTGAATTAGGGTGTAATATTCTGCACATGTTCCAGTGCTGCTCCTCTGCACATACTTATACCTACCCTGTCAACGAAATCCAGCTCAATGCTATGCAGGAAACTGGGTCTTTTATGCCACCATGGCCCTCCCATGTTTCCTCAACTGACAGGGTCATAATAGCAGCTGTCAGTGTAGCCCCATAGGCCCACCTCCCAGTTTGTTAGTAATGGAGAGTGGAGGCAACAACCCACTCCACCCCTAGACCCCTTCAGGGTATTTGGCAGCCCAGTGGCCTTCTGGGAAATGCAGTTCTTTGTGAATGACAGATGCACAGGAAAGTGAAGGGAGCAGCACTGGGAGCATGTCATTAAATGTCACGTGGGTGTCACATCCTCCATCACTAATGCACACTTTCCATGTTTTTCTCCCCATCTTTTCCCCCTCGTCATGTCTCCCTCGCTGATTGTGTCTGGTTTTTCGACCTCTCCTGCTCTTCCCTCTCTCGCTCCCTCTCTCCTTCATAAACCAGGGATCTGAAAAAGGTTGGTGTGACTATCGTAGGACCGCAGAAGAAGATCGTGAGCAGCCTCAAAGCCCTAGATTCCCACACCAAGAATGGCCCAGTACCTGTTTAAGAAATGAACCCAGCAAGTTAAAAGAACCAGAGACTTGTCTGTCGGTGTGGTTGCTAATCACAGTCTAACACAGTGGCTTCATATGTAAACTGAAAACGGATGGAAATGAAGGAAAAATATGTGATCGAAATGAGGGCTTTTGTTGTTTCGTTGAAAGACGATATCAAGTCCTGACAGAGAAACGGTACAGACCTGCCAGCTCATTAACTGGCTGACTCTTTGACCCTCCGTCCCTCCATGCCCAAGTTGAGATGCCTTACAGACAAATAGGGGGGTTAGAGAGAGCAGAGGAAAGCCAAGGAGGTCAAGGAGACCTGCCTAGGGATACAAAATGGGACAGGACTGGGATACAGGGCAAGGACTGGACTAACATAAAGCCGGAGCTCTCCAATATTGGCTACGCTGGACAGCATAGCCTTCCCTTTACAGCAAAAAGGGGACAGGCATGCTCAAAGTCTCCTCCCTCCACGCCTGACTAGGCAGCCTGTGGAACGAGGCAGTGAAATGGTGTGTAGAAGAGCACGGCAGACAGCAGCAGCTCACCCCAATGTGGACCCTTCCTGGACTAATGAGGTCTGAGGCGTGAGATTTTGTTATAACTACCTACATTTACTGTCTCTATCCATGAGAGAACTGAGCTGGTTATGGACACACCTAGATGTTAACCGAGCCATTTTACTCTGTAGCTCTAACTCTATAGCATTTGCATTCAGTAGACATGTCACATAAAAGCAATAATTATGATAATCAGTTAAATAGTCTCATTGTTCGGAAGCCATGAGTCTGTCACATGTACAATGTATTGAACGCTGTGCTTTGAAGGTACAGGGGCCATTACACACTTCACACACAGAATTTTCTTTATGGGGACATCTATGTTCTATGTGCTTATGAACAGATATTGTACAGTTATAGTGCCGTTCCCTCAACCCAATGCCCTTTGTGTGAAATCTCAGGATGTATACGTTATTCATTGTATTTTCTCTAACAAGGGGAAACAGACAGAAGGAATGGAGCAGTGCCAGGAACTGAGGGCGCAGGTTAAGAAAGACAGAAAGTAGAAACTGTAAGAGAGAATTTTATGAGAGGAAAAAGAGAATCTATGATGAAGTAGTGTCTTTCAGGCCTCTGCTTCAAACGTTGTTGTTGTGTTGCGGAAGTGTTTTAAACTAGAAGAGTTTGTACTTGAGTTTCTTCAGGTAAGGCAAGTTAGCATCATCAACCCCACACAACATCAGGTATCATTTTCTTTCCAAGGAGTGGGATTTGTTCTGTGATCAATCACCTGTTTCAGATAATATCAGCCCATGAAATGGCTGTTATCAGTTATTATCACTCCCATTATAATGCTTCAGATGGAGCAAACTGCAGTAACCATTAGGCCAGAACATGCATATCAATGTTGTGAAGTTAGTTAGTTTTCACTTTCCTTAGGTTTAGGCACCAAAAGTACTTGGAAAGAGATTATGATTTGGGTTGAAGTAAGTACGTTAGTTATGTAACTTAAGCTACAAACATAAGTTACCTTACGTTTTGTACTTGAATACCTATGTAACTTAGAAAAAAGGTAAACTTTTGGTTTCGCCTGGGACATAAAGAGCAGTCTCCCAGGTGAAATGTCTTATGTATCTTTGAGCCATCCATCCACCCTATCGTCCTCCCTACACATATTTTATCTCTCTTCAGACTATGTCACCTGTCTTCCTCCTTTGCTCCTGTTATAATTACTATGGCCACCTAACATTAAACATAAATATAAGAGGTAGAGTAGAGCCACACCTCCTCAAATCTATGCTACCGATGACAACTGATAATGGCCATTTAATGGGCTGATAACATTCAAACCAGGCAGATCTGTTCAGAAGGTTGAGATCAACACTGCTGATCCGAGGGTGTTGTAATATTGCTTTAGTCTGAGTCCATAACTTATTAACAAAAGCCATGTGGGATCTGAAAAATGCTATTAAAAAGAACTTTATCCTAGTTTGAAATTAATCCATAAACCCTGGTGTGTTTAACACAAAAAGTAGAGTGCCTCCTCTAGTTGGGTTGGATCATGGTGGCATCATCAAGCAAAAAAAGCCCCTGTTTTGATTTACTTTCAACAAAGTCTTGGTCTTTTTTCTTTGTTTTCAAAGGGGTATGAGGTTTTCTCATCACTGCCCTAAACTAACAATGTGTGAAAATGCCCTGAAAGAGATGCAACACGTCCAATAAATGATTGCTTTCTGAGATATTTTCTAGTACAATATATGTCAACGATGGGATTTCCTAAAGGCACCTTAGAACTTAGATGGTCTTTTTACTATGAAGTACAGACTTACAGATATTAGTCTCTTGCTTTGATGTCACCCAGTCAGTCCCTCAGTGCAACACATACCCAGTATTTCTAATCTGGCACTTTGGTACTTTGTGCTGTCGGATGGGTGACATCTAACCACGAGGCTGCTATCTGAAGCTTCTTCCAAGCACTTAGTACACACTATTTGAGCACTTTGAATGGAAATGGTATTGCCTTGGCTATAAACTAAGTTTACCTAATGGAAAGGAGTGATCTTGGTGCTTTTGGGAAACCCGTCCCTGTACAGTGCGTCAGTCGGTCCTCTGTTACTTGGTCTACCTGTGGATGCTGCTGTTGCTGCTATGTGTTCTAATTAGCATGTACATAATGTAAACCATCGTAATGATAGCAACTAGCGCTACAGATCCCACTATATGTACATGGCCATCCCTCTTTGTACAAATGTTTGTATGTATAAAAGAATAAATAAAAAATGTGCAACATTTTTAATTAAAAAAGAGACAAAAATCATCTGTATTATATTTTATCTTATGTTGAATTATATTTGTCTGCTTTGTTTGTTTTTCTTTTCTACAATAAAAAGGCAATTATGATTACATTATTATTTATTTGTTAACATTATGCAGCGCAATGTTGATGGATTTTTTTTGTAGCATACAGTAAATTATGTGGCAGTGCTATCTGTGTTTTGGTTTTTGACTTACTTTAAACCTGGGACATCTGAGAGAGCAATACTGTTATGCACCCTATATCCAGATCCCTCATTTTCTGTCTCAAGACTGACCCGTGTGTCTGTGTGAGAGTTTACGTGTGCAAATGTAGATGGCCTTGTCTACTAATGTAAAATGATTTGTAGTGGAAACATTTATATTTTTATAATAAATATTCGCAAAATATTTTCCAAAAAAATGGATGATGATAGACCTGCTCCTGTGTTTTTATTCTATCGTGTGATTATGTCGCGCACCAACAAATGATGTTGGCTTTTCTTTTACAGTGAAGCCCATTTCCATATGTTTAACAGATCACAAGTGGAAGTGAAACACTCATAATGCAGATGTCATCTTTTTTATTTTACATTCCATAGATCAGTCTTTTGGCACATCTTGTCTTCTTCAGGATAAAAGCCAGCAATCATCTGACTGACATATATAGTGAACAGGACATGTGTTTCAAATCACTGAGTTCACAGGGCAATCAACATGAACAGTGAAGGAGTCCATAGAAAGGTCATTCGTAACTAAGAAAGGTCTTCACTAGCAATGTCCGCACTCTTAAGGATCAGCAAATACATACAGTAAAAATAATGGAAAATAGAAAAGTATTAAAATTCTTATATTTAAACTGAACAATACATAATAAAAAATACAATAATTTTTACAGTTGAATAAAGGAAGATCAACATTAGTTCTAAGTTAAAAAAAAAAGATCTGAATTTAAAAACAAGTCAATTTTTCTTCAGTGTATCATATTATGACCTGCTGGACACAATTCAGACACAATTAAACTAAAAAATAAATAAATAAATAATAATAAATACAATAAATTACAATTATTACAAATTACAACTGGATTTTAAAATTTTGATTTACATAAAAAAACAAAAGTACCTACAAAATGAGAAAACTACATGAACATTTTCATTTGATAAAATTATTTTATTTATTTATTTACTGTATTGGCAGGGCAGGACTTAGCCCATCCCTTTATCCCTTCCTTTCTGTGGTGTATGTTAAGTGTGTGTTAAGCAAGCACTAAAATACAAAAAAAATAAAGAAGGTGTAGTACTCTTCCAATATTTCATTTCCCTATGCATGCCAACTGTGGAAATTAATGACTTGAGTTGTCCGATATTAACACTCGGATTATAGGATTGTCCCAGTACGCATTTTACACCATCTTTCAGTCTACCTGTCTATACTGGACCGTCTACACCTTACACACAAACCCTCCCACATCTGTTAACCAGCTTCCAACTTAACCACCTCAGCCTCTGTTTCTAATCCCTTCCTCCCTGATGCCGCCTCCTTGTTCACCAGGCCACATCCAATAAAGCACTTTGTTTCCGATCATTTGTGGCTGAAGTCTATTTGTTGTGTGATTTTAATGTGGAAGATCTGGTACGTCCCTTTCTTTTCCTGACTGGGAGTAGATGAGATGTGTCAGACAGGGGAAAGAGTGATGGTCGCTCTGCACAATGTTGAAAGGCTGACACTCTCCAGATGTTCCCAGGCAGATGTGCACGGAGAGAAAACAGGACACTGCCCTCCACAATTCAGGAAACAATGAACACAGTATGCTTGACGCCACCAATTTGGTCACCACGGTACTGAAAGCACCGGGGTGATGTGAAAGACAGCAGGGAGGGCGGAAGTGGGGGAGGTAGCGAGGGTAAAAGTTAAGAGCATAGGAAACAATAGCAGGGAAGATAGAAGGCAGGTGTGCTGGAGGTGCGATGTCTCTGGCAGCTCTGTCCAAGTAGATAAGAACTTTTCAAATGGTGGCGTATGATAATGCAAGAAGATTAACCAGCACCATTCATCATCTTGCTTGGCGACGTGTTGTTGAAATGTGCTCTGTTAGCTGCAGCACATACAGAAAAGCATGGTTCCACTTGGAGAGTAATGATAATGAGAAAACAAAGTCATGATGTGTAAAATTCAATTCCCATTTTGAACAGGGGTTATATGAAATCATCAAAATACAGCTCTGCTTTGTTGAGGTTTTTGACATCTACCACTGTTTCTAAATGGGCTGAGATGTCACAGAACCATCACTGACATTTGTTTTTATTTGACTTGAGTAAATAACCTCTTGATGGGCCAAATCCCCTTAAGTCTATGCACATGTACACACTGAAGCAAGGAAAGAGTGAAAAAGTCAAAGGCTGATTAAGCAGTAAATATGTCATCATTAGCTTCCACCAAAGAACTGTGAGAATTTCTCCAATTCCAAGTCTTTAACATTTTCCACTGTCTAATTTCCAGTGGGGCTGGCACTGTTTTCACCTTGTATGTGTGTGCGCCTGTGGTTTCATCATCACAAAAATGTAGTCTTTAAAGGGATAGTGCACCCAAAAATGAAAATTCAGCCACTTGAGCGCGGCGTACAGAGAGGCAGTTAGAGCTACAGGCTACAATGAGGCTAAAAACAGAGGATCATTGGATCACTGTGGACGAGCAGTATGGCGATATTTTGTGGTTTCACTTATGTGTTTTTGGACGTTTGAATCTGGGGCGCCGTAAGCCTCCATCAGGTGGAGTTGTGCTGCTACCCCCTCTCCCCTGGGATCTCCGGAAGTGTTGTGAGGACTCTAAAACTTCACCTGAGCCTCCATCGGCATATGGGTAGAGTAGATAATGTCTGAATTTTCATTTTTGGGTGCACTATCCCTTTAAGACATCCATTTTGCAGAAACTACCACAGAAGTGGTTTTGAGTTCTTTGCCAGGTTTTCATATGTCTCTGGACAGATTTTAATAACTTGATAGCGTCACAACCGTGCAAACCTTTAAATGTGTGTATCTGAGATCACAATGAAGGCCAAGTGAGGAGATGGTTGTCGTTAAGCAAGTGCACCGGAAATATCTGGAAATAGGGAAGACTCCCTCACACATTCACAGGCTTTATACCTCTGGCCCACATTCATTTTAAGTCAGGGACTGGCGTTGTGGCTGGTGTGATCCCATGGCAACGCACCTGTTTTTTTTTTGTGTTTTTTTTTTTTTTGAGAAAGAGCAGGACAGTGTCCCATATTCCATCCTCCCCATGTCGAGATGTCTCCTCCCTTTGAAGCCTGTTCCGTAGCCTCATCCCTCTATCTCCCCTCTCTCTCCCGTCTCAGTTCCTGGTAAACTGGTATCCAGCTGTGTGCAGCTGCTTTGCAGGGCCTGACGCCATGTTGCAAAGTCATACTGCTCCGTTCAGCTACCCCTACAGCCTGCTGTGAGAATGTCATCTTCATAAGCTCACTTCCTGGGTTCAGAGTTCACTGATAAAGGACCGGGATGTCATGTGTTAATTATCTTTGTTGCAGGGCCTGTTTATCTTTCTGCGGCAGTAGATTATGGAAGAATTAAGGCTTTTGCCTCCAGGGGTGTGCAGAATGTGCAAGAACTCACACAAAGTGAGGCAGTGCTGCTGACACAAAGAGGGTCTTGTATGTACACATGTACACTGCAGGGAGCACTAAGCTGTCACAATACTGTCTCCGCCACACACATGTACATATGCACACATACAAAGATAGATGGATTGTGGTTGTTGGCTTTGTAATGCCTGTGCTCTCTATGGAACAGAGGCACACACTGACTCTTCAATCATTTTATTACCAGAGTAACATGCAGTGTTATCATCACAGCACACACACACACACACACACACACACACACACACACACACACACACACACACACAGGTCCCAGGACTGCATTGCTCAGGCCGCTTCTGTCACTTTAACAAATGGTGCCATCACAAAGGGAAGTGAAACTATCATCACAACATCCTCGCCAAGGGTGAAAAGTACAGGTAGGAGTTTTTTGATCAAGCTAGACCCCAGGTAAAATCACCACCACCAAGGATTCTCCAGTGCGATGAAAATGTGTTTGTTTGCTACAAGTTCATCAGAAGTTTAAAATCACCCTCAGGATTATTGCACCAGATTAACAAAAACTTTCTGCATGTCTTGCTGTTTTCTGTATTTGAAGAAGTTATTTCAAATGTTGGATAGGATTTTCCCATAGCGTTCTCCATGTGGGCACGTGGCAACAGAGAAGTCTCATGCATGAGGTGCTGTAAAGCTAAACAAGCAAAACAAATCATAAGTCCCATTAAATTTAGTCATTTACGGTATTAACACTCAAATTTGTGGTTTCAGCTTTTCAAACGGATGGGAAATCCAAAAAAAAGCCCATACTGAGCTGTCCAAACAAAGCTCATTATGGACTTGACCTCGTCACCTTTTCAACCCACACTGCAGAGTAAATAGAGGACATTTATGTCTCTGAAATGACAAGTTAATAGCTTCTGGCTTTACTGTTTTTTTTCCATATGAGGGACAAAGTGATACAACCATGATGAGATTCAATTCTAGGAAGCACTATAAATAATGCCAGAGCTGCAGAACCACAAAACATTTTACATTTTATTTTTATTTTTTTTCTACCACAATATTCATGTGACTCAGAGTTGACCTATGTCCTGTATGTACTCAATTTTGTGCCTTTAGTTTAAGCGAATGGCAGCAGTGGAGCAGGATGGCATGTTGGTCAGTCTGTCCACTCGACAGCTATTTCATAAATGACACTGGTTGTTATGCCCTGGCTTTACTCACCCTACCATGAGGTTTATAGTTTTGTTTTTGAATGGAATGTTTCCACAGCTATTGAATGGGTTGCCCTGAAATATCTGGAAAAAAAAATGCATGGTTCCCACGCGATGTATCCTATTGATTTTTGTGATCCCTCGACTTTTCCTGCACTGCTATTATCAGGTCAAAATTGCAATTTGTCCATTATTTTTGACAAATACAAAAATAAGCTGCAACTCTTATCAGTGCAAATTAGCTTAATTTTTGCATCCTAAAATGCTACACTGCAATAGAGACCATTGAAAACATTACCTGATAAACGTTAACAATTAACATTGCTGTCATTGTGAGCATGTTAGCATCCTTACATTAGCATTTAGCTTAAAGCCCCGCTGGGTGTAAGTACAGCCTCGCAGAGCAGCTTGTGAGGCTAGTCTTTTCTCAGTTTTGTTAACTAGTAAACTAGAATTTTTTCCATTAATGGCCATCAAAATGTTGAAAATTTAGCTAACATAACTAGCTTAACTAGCTGTTATCCTAAATAAGGTTAAAAAAGGATTTCTCCATGGCCACCAAATATAACTTTGTACAATTTGCTAATCTTTTGCAGATTG